TTTTATTATTCATTTAGTATCAATACACACCCAATATACCAGTCGTCGCAGAATTAGATTAGTTCGATTAAGTGTTATGCAATGCATGTTTAATATTTGAACTTTAATATTCCGTTTAATATTTCTGTTTGAAAAAAATGATTTGTATTCTTAACAAATATATTGTGCTGAAAACATTTTGCTATAATTAAGATTATTCATAATTAAAAATGATTATTTTAATATTATTTTTCCTTGTAAGCTTCTTAATCTTTACCCGCATGATTTTTAATGGTACTCTACTATGAAACTTCCTTCTTTTAAACATTAGGAATTATGAAACCAAAGCTTATATAGTTTTTATGTATCAAGATTTCATTTGAAATAGCATAAAAATTTGCGTAGTATCAAGAGCAAAATATTAAATGCGCATTATTTATCGCACGTTACTATCAAACTTTTACTTTTAAACTTTAAGAATTATGGAACAAAAATCTTATTATAGTTTTTATGTATCAAGATTTCAGATGAAATAGCATAGCAATTTGCCTACCATGAAGAGTAAAATGTTGAATGTACAGTATTCATCGTGCTCTACTATAAAACTTTTATTCTTAAACTTTAAGAATTATGAAATAAAAAGTTCATATATTTTAGTTTCTATTTATCAAGACTCTTCTAATAAATCTTAAATTTATAGTTAAAATAACTAAATTTATATTTGCATCGCACCAAATTTAACGCATCAAATCTATTTTACACTTAGAAAAAAAAAGGAGTCAAAACTACCAAAATATGATAACATTTATCGTGTTTTTGGCTCTATGGATACACCAAAAAGCACGGTAATTTTAATAATTTTGGTAAAGTTAACAACAAAACATGGTTTATAATATGTTGTAAAATTTGATAAATTTATTATGATACCATAGTGCATGGCATAAAAAAACATTTATTTGGTTAAATTTACTTTTCAGTTTTGTATTTCTTGCTAAATGTGCTATAACAAGAACTATAATTTTGGAAACTAGAATTCGCGGTAAACCGTTACCATATGAACCGAAAAATTGCCATCAAAATGGTTTAAATATCGGTTTTATTAGCCAAAATTGTGACTCTTTTTTTTTAAAACCAGAAATGTCCTTACAATAGAGTTTACCTTATATAAATTGCAGTTTCCCTTACATAAAGTGTAAAGCACAGATTATTTTAATTAAAGTTTTCATTACATCAAGCGTAAAGTACTAAATGTAAAACGCAAAGTATTGCAATTAAAGCTTACATCAAGGACAAAGTATCAAATTCAATGTGCAATATATATTCAAACTAAAGTTTGCATTACATAACAAACGTTAAGTATAAAACGTGAAGCATTCAAATTAAAGCTTTCTTTATCCCATGTGCAAAGTACGTTTTGCCTAAAGTAATCAAAGGTTTATATTAAAAAAATATAAACAATCAAATTTGTAGTACAAATAAAAAATTGCCGAAGGTGTAAAACTTTATATATAGAAAAATTACAGAAATTATATATTTTGAATATTCCATACACCAAAGCATGGATAATTCAAACGTAGGTACGTTTTTTAATGTTCATAAAGGACATACACATTCATAAATGACATAAACATACATAATCATACATAATGATGTGTTATGTATGTTTATTCATAAATGACATAAACATACATAACACTCCGAATTGGAGCATATAGCTTCTATCATAGCTTTCTATCTCACTCTCCAGTTTTGATCATACTTTCTTTTTCAAGGTATCCGTTCAAAACGTTGGTTATGTACTTTAAGATTTAAATCCTATTATTATTAATTCAATTTTTTTGTTCACATGTTCTTTTGTACACATTAGTTCACGTGTTAAATTTCTACATCATTAAATTTAAAAAGATTGAATTAAAGAGTGAGATGTGATAATATTTCGATGAATAATGATATTTAGTTTATGGGATAATGTTTCTGAAGTATTGATTTATTTATAATTTTTTTGTTTCACCTGCAACAAGATGCAAATGTTTGCTAATAACTGACCGAAAATTACTTCATTTTTGGTATTTGTAAGCGAGAAAACCTCGAGTTAAATATATAATAAATAAATTTACATTTTAAAATTGCTATTGGATAATTTTTTTTCTTTCTGTGAGATACTGTTGAAACAAACAAAAGTTTTCTCGTAAATAAACCTGTTTTAGGCATTTTCTATAATCTCTTTCGGATCCTTGAAAAAAATATGACTGCTTATTAAAATACAATTTGATTTCTTTAAATTTAAAAAGAAAACACGTGGTCTCATAATGGCTATTTAAATTTATTTTCTATTTTAAGTTTTCGCAAGGATTTTTGAAATGGTTATTTAGATTTATTTTTTATTCTAATTGTGTACAAATTACTCAGTGGAAAAGTATGCGGATATCTCTAAAGAATTCTAGATTTTATATTTTCACATACACTCAAGTTTTATACATAGCTTTTGTGCAATTACGACAATTAGATTTTTTTTAATGCAATAAGGTCGAATCTATCTAATTAGTTTTCATATAAATTATTATTTCGTCCTATTTTTTTTAAAGACGCTTAAAGATTATCACGTTAAGCATAACTTAACAAATTTGATAAAAATCAAGTTAATTGAATTCATGCTTTAAATTGTTGTTCACAAAAAAATCTTTTGTCGATGAAAACTATCTTATTTAAAAACCTTTCCATTAGTTTGTGTAATTCATCAAAAAATTATATTTTATTTTACGCAATCTGGTATATTCGACGAGTTTTCTCTTGAAAACTAATATTTAGTTTAAGACGCTAAAAGCTATCGCGTAAAATACATTTTAGCAAAGATAAAATGAATTTAATTAAATATTGTACGTCATAATGCCGCTTACAGAAAATCTTTTGTGCTTGAAAACAGCTCTATTTAAAACTTTTTCCTTACTTTCTAAAATTACATCAAAAATTACTTTTTTATATTTTACAATCCAGTCAAACAATGTGATAAGTTTTCTTAGGAATTATTATTATTTCGTGTAAGTTTTCTTAAGAATTGCTATTATATAGTTTAAGACACTAAAAGCTATCGCGTAAAATATATTTTAGCAAAGGTAAAATGAATTTAATTGAATATTGTACGTCATAATGCCGTTTACAGAAAATCTTTTGTGCTTGAAAACAGCTCTATTTAAAACTTTTTCATTACTTTCTAAAATTGCATCAAAAATTACTTTTTTATTTTTTACAATCCTGTCGAGTAATGTAATAAGTTTTCTTAGGAATTATTATTATTTCGTGTAAGTTTTCTTAGGAATTGCTATTATTTAGTTTAAGACACTAAAAGCTATCGCGTAAAATACATTTTAGCAGAGATAAAATGAATTTAATTGAATATTGTACGTCATAATGCCGCTTACAGAAAATCTTTTGCGCTTGAAAACAGCTCTATTTAAAACTTTTTCCTTACTTTCTAAAATTACATCAAAAATTACTTTTTTATATTTTACAATCCAGTCGAGCAATGTGATAAGTTTTCTTAGGAATTATTATTATTTCGTATAAGTTTTCTTAGGAATTGCTATTATTTAGTTTAAGACACTAAAAAAAAGCTATCGCGAGAAATACATTTTAGCAAAGATAAAGTGAATTTAATTGAATATTGTACGTCATAATGCCGTTTGCAGAAAATATTTTGTGCTTCAAAACAGCTCTCTTTTAAACTTTTTCATTACTTTCTAAAATTATATCAAAAATTACTTTTTTATTTTTTAGAATCCTGTCGAGTAATGTAATAAGTTTTCTTAGGAATTATTATTATTTCTTATAAGTTTTCTTAAGAATTACTATTATTTAGTTTAAGACACTAAATGCTATCGCGTGAAATACATTTTAGCAAAGATAAAATGAATTTAATTGAATATTGTACGTCATAATGCCGTTTGCAGAAAATCTTTTGTGCTTCAAAACAGCTTTAAAACTTTTTCATTACTTTCTAAAATTATATCAAAAATTACTTTTTTATTTTTCACAATCCTTTCGAGTAATCATTCTTATAAGTTTTCTTAGGAATTATTATTATTTCGTAAATTTTTTTAAAGATATTTGAAGTAAGTAATTCATGTAAAGTGCATTTTATCGAACTTGCTGAAATGAAATTAATTAAATAGATTAAACAAAATATTGTTGACACAAAATCTTTTTCTGTTCCATTTAAAAAGTCAAAAAAAAAATAAATTAATATTTTTCTTTTCAATTTGTCAAATATTTAAGTGTTTTCAAAATGCCATTTAATAAAACATTTGTCCTTTAAAATTTTTGAAGTTTAATATGAATGTGTTAACTTTTATTATTTAAATCTTATTAGATAATTTACTCATAATAAGGTTTTAATTATAAAAATTGCTGTTAATTTTATTGTGCATTGATTTTACTTCTGGTAATCGTTACTGTAAAGATCCATTTTTATGGAACATATTACGGAACAAAAAATCTGATAATCCGTAATTTTTACAGTAATAATTACAGTAAAATCACTGAATCTCTAGAATTAAACAAATATTACTGTAAAAATTATGGTATATTATTTTACGATAAAAGTGGAATTTACGGTGCAATTGATTTTACGGAAGAAGCACCCAAAGTGCTACTTTTGTATACGGCACTGTATAGCGTAATTTGATTCGGAATTTTTTACAGTGGAGGAAAAAAGTTTATAAGGTTAAATATCTAACATTCGATCAAAGTAACGCATAATTACCAATTATTAATGAAAAAAAATATTTTTTCTGACAGATTAAATGCCCTCTTGAGATGTTAAACCAATTTCTGATAGACCGACGATATCATTATTTTATCGCATTATAATAATTAAAAAATAGATTTCTTTTGAAAAATTAAGATAAATTTTTGCAGCAATTGAATTAAATATTTTTCAAGATTTTTGACAATTTGCAACTCAAAATAAATGTCAAATTATTAGATTTTTTTTTTAAAAATTAAATCTCTTTTCCCTTTGTTAGGTATGCTGCGGATCAGAGTTGAAATTCCGCATTCCACAAGAGGCGGCGGCGACAGGTGATGGCATCTATAGGGTCTCCTACGCACCTGCAGGAGGCTATCCAGCGACCAATTTCACTGTGGACTCATCACTCATCAATCAACTCATCACCATCAGTGATGTCCTTCCAGGAACACTCTACACATTCCATCTTTATTTCAGCAATTCCACTACACCCCCTAAACTGATATGGACATCGGATTTACCAACCAGTAATTACAACATTATTAACTATCATAGAGGGAATTTTAAAAACGAAATTTCAAATGCACTCTTATGACATCTCGTATAATTGTGATGCGGATGTAAAATATCCACAGTATTCGATGGATTATTTGTTAGAATTCCCTTGTGGCTGGACTAACCGTGAGAAGTTTTCCTTTCCGTATACACAAAAGACTTGACCATTAAAGTCCCCATTTAAAAGATTTATAACTTCATTCTTAACACACAGGGCGTTTAAAAAAATATACGGAAGTCCACTGCACTCTTAGGACAGCTGATAGAATCGTGATACTGACTTAAAAATATACGCTGTAGTAGACGAGTCATGGGTTAGAATTCTTTTGTAGTCGGACTAACCGGGAGAGGTTTTCATAGTTTTCCCACCCATGTACGCAAATTGAGCAAGCACATTTTAACTTAATTTCTTCAACAAAACTTTTTTTTAAAATTATTTTTAAAAAAATAATCTCCCTTTTTAAATAATAGTATATATTTACCTAAAAAATATTAATAAATATAAATAATACTTTTCATTAATTTTATTAAGTATTAATTATTTTATTTAAATTCGGTTTTTCGGAGTTATAAAAATTAAAACAGTGCTTTTTAGCTTGTAGTCGGGTTTACCAGATGTCGCTACGATATAAATTATCCTATATTAGAAAACATTCTTATCTTATATAAGGATTGTTGAATTTGTGAAAGTTGTAGGTGGAACTTAAATATCTTGAATGAGAAATTTTAATACAGAATTTACAAGAAAATTTTTTTTAAAAAACTCGCACACTAGTTTTTAAGTGATTTATAAATTAAATGAAAGTAGGAAAAATGTTTTTTTTTCGAAGACGCAGTTTTTATGATTTTCGTATTAATCATAAGAAATTATTATTGGCCAATTAAACAATGGTATTGGATTTTTCTACTTGAATTGCATGAGTGATTAGTCTATTAAGAAATAAAAAATAAACTATTATAAAACAATTTTCAAATTGTATATCCTATGCGTTTAAAATTGTGAGAAAAAAAAAGGCTTTTAGTATATTTAGTTTTTTGTAGTGGTGCCATCTAGTAGATTTAGTTTTAATGAAAGTCCACCCTATGTAGATTAATGAGACGTACAAAAATTATTCATGTAACAATTTTTATCTGAAAATATCAAATAAAGGAGCATTTTAATAGTAATTGCAAATTTTATTTTTAGTTATTTAACTCGATTTTTATTTGCAGTAATTCAAATTTGCAGCATTCAACATTAATTATTAATTTTTGAATTTTTGGGGGATTATGTTACTTGATCCCTGCTGATGTTTTGTGCTTCACCCGTAATAGTTCGAAAAATTACAGGGAGGGGGGGGGGAACTCATATGAACACATAGATATATATTTTTGAAAGTGGCTTAGTTTTTTATCTTAATTTTGAGCAAAAAACATTAGATTATTTTAATTATTTACTTTCATGTAAAAAAATCACTTTTTTTTAAATAATTTAAATAATTGAATTTCTTTTATTCAGTTTTAATATTTTTTGACTATGCATACATTTATTATATATAGCTCCAGAGCCACCTGTCAATCTGACGGTAAATGTGATGGGTGGAAAAGTTGCGGAGGCTATTTGGGAGTCACCAAGGCAGGGTGGTCACACAGGCTTCAAGCTCTCACTAGTCCCTCTGTCAGAAAAAGATGAGACACCAGTACGGAATAATTACATCAATCAAGTAACTCCGTTTTTATTACGAGAACTAACTCCGGGAGCCTCTTATGAAGTTCAACTCTTTTCCGTCTTCCACGGTCAAGATTCTTCAGTCTTTGTAGCTACTAATTTCACAACAAGTAAGCGTCTATCTATTTTTAATATCAGTTTATTTACGTTTTGATTAATTATTGGTTTTATAATGATTAAGACATTATCATTGACATTAGAAAAATTATGAACGGTTTTAGTAATATTTTTGCGAGGAAAAAATTCGTGAGTAATCGAGGAAAGATACAATTTTTACCTTTTGTTACTATTTAATTCTACAGCCTGAATTTATTTTACAAAGTCTCTGTGGACGAAGATAAATGTGTAATTCCTTCAGAATATTTGAGCAGTTTCGGAGTAGAAAATTTATGCTACAAGTAAATCTTATAGCATAAATTTATTTTACTAAGTCTCTGTGGACGAATAGGTAAAGGTATAATCCTTCGGAATATTTGAGTATTCTCGAAGTGTAATAAGGTTCCAAATACATTTGGCAATAAATATACATGAATAGTAACTTAGCCTATCTTTTGGAAGCAAATTAAAACACCAACAGTGCATATCCTATGTTGTGAATAGTTTAAGTAAGTCTTAGGGGTATATAGTTGACTTTGCTTATTGGGAGCTGAAGGACAAGAACTAAAGGCAAGGCGCATTCCTTATTTTCTATTGTATACGTATAAACTTTAAGCTTAATTTACTTAAGCTCACTTAAAACCACCACTTAGTCCTTCCTTTAAAGTTCATCTTTGAATTCTTTTTTTTAATTTTTTTATTTAAGTCTGCTAGCTAACAGTATTTCTTCACTTTCATGTAAAAATTCTTTAATATTTTCACCATGAGGTAAAACTTCAGTTTTCGCAAAAATATGTGTAGTATACTGACAAAGGAATTATTCTCGCTGTTCAGATAGTTTTGATTTCCAATCTTGCTTTCCTGTTTATTAAATATGCATATAGTTGTTCTAAAGTAAGAACTCCCCTAGCGATTCGTCTGGACCTGTGGCGGTAACAATGGTAACGAGATGTAACTATTTCTAGTAGGGGTGTGAAGTTATTGTTTAGAACAGGTTTTGGGTGGGGTCGGCGAGAGAAAGGGAATCTTCTTCTTCGGTCTATTGTGTTAGCCCTAGAGTGAAGAAAAGCTACCCTCCCTGAAATGTGCTATTCTTGTTTCCATAGCAGCAGACGGCCTCAGACTTTGTGGTGGGGGGATTCTTACCATAAACAAACTATAGTATCATTTACTACTTGCTGTGTACAATATTGCTTTTATTTTCAGAACCCAATACGCCTGGCCGGTTCATTGTGTGGTTCAGAAATGAAACCACTCTTCTTGTTCTGTGGCAACCACCTTATCCGTCTGGCATCTTCGACAAGTACCGGGTCAGTATCGCACCCGAGGATGCACTGGAATCAGAGCTGCTGGTCGACAAGGAAAGAGATCCACCTGGACCAGCTCAAGCAGCTTTCTACGGTTTGATTCCTGGCCGTAATTACAACATCTCAGTACAGACAGTCAGTCAAACTCAAATAAGTGAACCGACTAGAGCTCAATACAGAACAGGTAAGTCCAAGAAAAGTTCATAGTAGAATTAAAACTAGTTAAATAAGGAAATGAAAATAAATATTTATTTATAATTTTTTTTTAAAATTTATTAGTTACTTTCAAATTGTTTAGATAGAAGCATGAAATGAGCATTGAGCTTGAAATTCAACTTCTAGCTCAATTTAGAAGAGGCTATATTGCTTTCTTTAAACAATTTTAAAATTAAAGTGACAATGGTCTTAATTTTATTTTTTTTACTACTGTTCATGAATAGTATTTCTATGCGACCCCATACAGACAAGTGGATCATGGGCTTATTTGTTAAAAACTGATAATTTTACAACTGCGAAAAGTAATTGCTTTAGTCATTTACTCTTCCCATGAATGTTATCGCTTAAGTCATTTGTTTTGTCAAATTTTTCACTATTCGAAAAACCATACAAAAATTTAGGGAATTTTAGTAATTATTCAGTCAAAGAACTTCGCTAAAAATAGTTATAATTTCGAAACAAAACCGGATAGTTTTTCATTGGGCGGTGCCGGCTTTAAATTTCGTAAGGAAATAAGGACATTCCGATTGTTAAATTGTCGAAATTTGTGGAAAATAGGAACATTTTATAAAAAAAGAAGTCTTCTTTGGATGCAAATTTTTTTTAGGTAGGTACTAATGTTGCTTGTTTTTATAAGAATATTTTTTACAGCGTATGAAATGTGGTGGGACGCACAATATCGTGACCCCTAGATCCCTAAATCTCCAGAACACGATTCACAGTTTAAAAGAAATTTTTTTTTTACTAAATATTTCTGTTTTGACCAGTGTCCACAGTTGACGAAAATAAACAAGTGATAAAACACTTAGAATGTTTCTTTTCATTCATCCAGTGAGTAGATTTTGGTTGCCCGAGATATGATTTTAACGATATGGAGATCGCCTGCCAGGTGACCTCGGTCAGCGTGCCTGATTCCGAAGTTAATGGTTGCCGATTCAAATCCCGAAAAGGGCATGGTTGTTTCTGAGCGTTTCCTTGTGATGTGTGAATGTGGCCCATGCTATGAACGATTCAGTGGCAGTGTGGCGTGAATAAATTTGCTCGCCTCCGTGACTTAAGTTCACAGGAGCCCACCGGGTTATGTTAAATGAGCAACACTTCCGGCATTTTCCGAGGCGAAGAACAAAAAGTTCAGCGCCTACCATTAAGAGAAAAAAAACGCTTTAAAAATTTGATTTTTGAACCAATGTGCCTCTTATTATGAATTAAAATGATTCTCCAAGAAATATTATCATTTTGATTATTTTTCGCTATATAAACCACATCTAATAAGTCTACATAAGAACATATTACAGAAAGCAGCTCTAATTTTTTTACATCTTCCAGTTCCCTTGTCACCCATGAATGTAACATACGACGCCAACCGCCTGACGTCTTTTTCATTTGATGTCCGATGGGAACCACCAACAAAACTCTCAGAATTCGATCGTTATCAAGTTGCTCTGGGTATCCGTAACACAGTCCGTTACCTCATCAACAAAGAAGAAGAAAGAGTCGTAACATTTGACGAAGATCTTGAGCCAGGCAACACTTATGAAGTAGTTGTCAAGACTGTCAGTGGTAATGTGGCCAGTTGGCCAGTCACAGCCAATATAACCACAAGTAAGGAGTGTTTCACAATATCTTCTTCAATCTAGACTGGAATTGATTATAGTGTTTTTAAATAAAACTGATTTGTGTTTGTTTCCAGGACCATTGCCAGTTAGGATTCTGAATTCAGCTTCTGATAGTATAGGAGAAATATTCCTCAAGTGGGAACCTAGTCGTAATAGCACCCAAGACTCGTACAGGGTAAGCCATTAAAGTCAGTTTTTTTTATTGTTGTTTACATTTTTTGTATATTTTTATTAATACAATACATTTAATTACCATATCTTTATTTCATTTGCTATAATAAGCACCGGAGGCATTGATAAATTTCTTAGTTCTCTATTGCGAATTTAGAACTTAATAGTTGGAAATTAAGGCTTAAATGGGTTTTCTTTTAATTATCTTTTAGATTAAGTACAGTGACATGGAGGCCTTCAACAGTGGTGGTAGTCTTATGGTAGTTCGCAACAACAGTATCAACTTAACATCCCTTCTGCCAGGAAGGAACTATTCCATAAGTGTTTCGGCTGTCAGTAAAAAGATATCAAGCAATCCCACTACTATCTATCAACCCACAAGTAAGCTTTTTTTAAAGGTATTTACTTTATATACTTCGCAATTCCAGTATAATTTTTTAAAACACTCGTTAACTTTCAACAATACCAAGTGGAGAATTGGGCAAAACAACGTTTATTGCCAAGAAAAAGAGTCAGATTCATGGGTAATCCTGATTTACTTAAACTTGTGCGGCGTAATCAACATACTTGGTTCGAGTACCGAAGTTAGTTACCTGGCGAACCAGTAATCTTCAAAGTCTTCTCTGTAATCTTCATCCTGAAGTATTACGAACTGAACTGAACTGATGAAATGTATATATACCATCGTAATTTGTTGCTTTTTCTCTCTTTTTGCGCTTTACTTTACGTCTATTTTTTGTTCTACGTGTTTGATTATAATCCTGGAGGCTTTTAATTTCTTTCTAAAATTCATTTGTTAAAATGTCATTAAAGTTATGCTTAAATTACGCATTTCTTCTTTATTATCTTTGATGATTTATCTATTTTAAATACAGAAATTAGAATTTTATAGAATTAAACAGAATTTTGATATGCAGGACGTAATACACTCAGCCTATCTCGCCAAACTCGTAACAAGGCCATTATTTATCAGGGTTTACTTGTCGTCAGACAAATTGCCAACTGGGTCTTCTCACTATTACACAGAAATCGGATTTAGCCATTATGAAGTCTCAAGTTCGTCACGTGCTAGATTATTTTAGATAACAGTCCTTCTAATATTGTCTAACTTACTTACTAATAAGTATCTTACAAAATCGTGGTTCAACGAATTATATACTATGCTTTAACATATACCTATTTGTTGAACAATTTGATGACAAAAAATAATGTGCTTGAACACTAATTTAGACTTAATGGATGGAAAAACTTTAAGCGAAATTGTATTACGCTAAGAACTGAAGCATTACTATTTCTAACACCACATTCGTTTTAATACCGGCAAGGTGGCCAAGCGGTCAGCTGGTCACCTTGTGAATTGTAGAGCCAATGGTTGTGGGTTCGAATCCCACTCAAGGCATGGATGCTTCTCTCTGTGTGTTGCTCTTTATTGTGTGATGTGGCCCACCCTATAAACGAGTATCTGTGGCAGTGGGGCGTGGGTGATGTTGGTTGCCTCCATGACTTAGGTTCACTCGTGCCCACTGGGTAACGTTAAATGAGAAATACTTTCGGCATCTTCCGAAGTGAAAGCAAAAGTTCAGTACCTGCCTTAAAAAAAAATAGAAACATTCATTATTTTAAATAGAGAAGTGTAACGTGATTAGCTTTTCTGAAATTTAAAGATAATTTATATAGATAAATATAAAGATAAAGATAATGAAAATATAAAGATAATGAAAAAATACGCTATTCTTCTATACTATTTAGATTCTTTGTCGAATAGGAAATCAAAAATTTAAGCTCCCATCTTAATACTTAAAGTGATACTTGATACAACACGAAATATGTGTTTACAAAAAAAAACACAATAGAAAGGAAACGTTTTTAGTTTTAAGTTTAAAAATTGAACTAGGAATTACGTGCTTGCTTTTATTTACTCGTTTAAATACATACTACGCATAATTACTACGGGGGGCAAAGTCTAAGTCCCGCACTCTAGCATTAGGTGTGCTAGGCATATAACAGATGTAACTTTTCAGTAGATGTCTTCCTATTCAGAACTCTAAACGAAAAAGTGAGTTTTAGAACTCTAAATTCCTACAATGTAAATTTTCTACCACTGTTATAAATTTATAACACTCGTGCCAACCTTGTAAAAACACACATGTTGACTTATGTAGTCTTTTCAGAAAAAGTGGTTTAGGTAAACGGACGTAATTCGTATACACTACGATTTTATTTGATTCTTAAGTTTATTTTTTTATTATACAAAAAGAACAATACTCATAAAAGAAGTTCAGAAACGGAATCAAATGCTATGTCCATTTTCTTTAATGCTATGTCCATTTTTGCTAACAGGCTTTTCGAGCTGTGTCCAGATTTAAAATCTCACCCGACGCAAATATGAACATCCACTCCATAAGTTATCAAATCAAAATTGTCAAATTCGAAAGTACGCAAAAAAGGATAAGAAACCTAGAATAAATGCGATTGTTTTATTTCAGAACCTTCGTCTCCAGTCATCGAATTGCTGCAGCCATCAGAATCCGGGGGATGGAACTTGACATGGAAATCAGATGTGACCAGTCGTCAGGATCAATATTCCGTCATGTATGTGCGGAATGACACGCGCTACTTACAGGAGAAGATCACGTTCCGCAACTGGTTGGTGATTGATGACCTCTATCCCGGTGCTGGCTACGAAATCAAGGTGTATGCGATCAGTTTCAATCTTTACAGCGAGCCACACTCCTATTTCCAAACCATACGTAAGTTTTTTCCTACAGCTGGTCATTCTATCCTTTTATATTTGATAATTTTTTTAAACTACCACGTTAGTCTAAAAAGAGATTTGCTTGATGAGGAAATACGCAGTTCAGAGGTTAAGGTACTTAGTTGGACACTAAGCTATACTAAGTAGAGGACAGGGGTTCATTCTCAAGTGGTGTGTTTTTCATATGGATGAGTACTAGATTGGGAAGTAAAGGTGACCGGTGCCTATTACTGACCGCATTGGTACCCCGCCCTAAAATTTTAAACAATTATTTTGAATAATGTTTTACGCTCTATTAACTATTTAAAAATACAAACGAAGAAAAATTAGGTGTTTGGAATACGTCTTGCCGATGTTTACCATTAGAAATAATGCATGCCTTCATAATGTTACTTTATCGTCTAATATATATAAGCTTGGTTTAGAGTGTCATTATTTGTAACAACTATATTTTTGTTAATATATATATTTGAAAAGAAATATTTGTCTCTACTTAAAAAATTTATTAAATTGGTGATTGACGACTAAGTTTGTGATTCTAATTCATGAAATATGCATTTTAACATAGCTAAGGCAATATAATCCGGAGTTAATGTGGAATTTTTATTTTTGCATCACCGTGACTTAAAACATACTTTATTATCATTCCAATAAGCAGATATTTAAGTTTGGAAAGCAGCTTATTTCTTTTTCTCATCTTGTTTCAGCGCCATCAAAACCACGTGGTTTGCAGGTTGTGAAAGCAAGCAATACTAACATGATTATTTTATGGTCTGCGCCATCTGGTTCTCTGTATGACCACTTCAACGTCCGTTATCAACCAGTTGGTTCAGCTTTCTGGAGAGAAATGGGTATGAATGTTTTTTTCAATTAAATAGTAAAAATTTGTTTAAAGATTAGTAACTGTTCCCGATAATATATATTCATTTTTCTATCAACTTCATACCAACAGTTTATAAGCACACTTTTGTAATTGATCTTAAAATACCAATTGCATGTCTAGGTGTGTGAAATCATTGACTACAATTAAAAAAGACAGACAATAAAAACTGAAAAAATAGACGGAGCAAAAAAAAAAAAAAATGGATGGTAAAAAAGTCAGAATCATGGAATACTTTAAAGATTACCGTGCTTTTAATTTGTGTACTTATTTCGTATGGATTTGAGATTAAACGATGACAGTGGTAAATGACTTTTAGTAGATATAATTACGTAGATGAATTGCATAAATTCAGTTAAAATGGTTCTGTTAAGCTGGGTCCAATACCCAATCGCACTGAAACTATTGTTATACAGTGCGCAAAAAAAAAAAATTACCCTGAATAACTCTTAATCTAATGGTCGGATCTTCATGTACTGAAACTCGGATCTTCACGTACTAGAACTCAATCTCAATGGTTTAAAGGGGTGATCTCGAATATGCTAATTAGTTAGGGCAGGAGATATTTCAAGTTGTTAAATCAGACACAAAAACGTACTATCTCTGAATAAACATACCCCTTTCAAACGGGTTTGGATTCCTTTTCCCTAAAACATGGGGGGTTGTGGCAATCCGGAACATAGTTAATCATTAGAAAAAAGTAGTTTATTTAAGATTCGATTTCTCAGGAACTATTCGACCAACTTCGTTTAAATTTTGTATTTTGCCACCCGTAATTACATTCTTTAAAATGAAGTAAGAGTTTGCTCACCTTACGATTTAAAAATGTTGCGATTATTAATAAATAAAAAAATAATAAATAAAATAATAGTAAATAAAATAATAATAAATAAAATAATAATAAATAAGATAATAATAAATAAAATAATAATAAATAAAATGATAGTAAATAAAATAATAATAAATAAAAACATAATTAATGAAATTATGATAAATAAAATAATTATAAATGATTATTAAAATAATTTTTCGTATGGAACTATTTTATAATTGTGTGCACAGATTTTATATTGCGTGCAGAATTTTTTTTTATCAGCTTTAAAAGTTCTGGACATATGGCAAAATACACAAAAAGCAAACTTAACATTAAGAGAGGTCCAAACTTTCGGTCGCTCTCACGACCAAACTATTGGGATCATGTGTTCAAGATTGAGGCTAGCCTCTATATTTTGAGAGTTAGGAATTCAAATCCGTCGAGAAGAAAAATTTATATTTATTCAAAGAAAGTACGTTTTTTTTGTTTGATTTCATAACATAAAATATTGCCTGCACTAATTAATTAGAATATTTGAAGTCATCCCTTTAAACCATTAAGATCAAAAGCTATTTAGGTTGTTCCGTTTTATTATTCTGCGTACTGTACATTTGTATATTACTAGATTCCGCTAAATAATAATACTATTCCAGCTTCCCAACGTTTGAACTATGTGAGTTTGAACTATGATAATTCTGTCTTAGCTGGAAGATTATGTCTTGACATTCAATTGAACTATCAGAATCTCTCATAAGGAAATGAAATAGTCTATGGTTAAGCCCGTAACGAACAATAGAATAAAACCTGGTATCATCTCGGAAAAAAGAAAGAACATTATTTCAATATTTCGCATTTGCCTTAAAACTAAGTGGAATTTGATAAAATTCACCTTGAACACAGAGTTTGTAAATAGAATTTTCTCTAAACACTGCTTTCCTTCTCAGTTAAGTCAATTTTCGAATACTTTACATTCGAATGGAAATCGACTTCACAATCAGTATTTTTAGCTTTCTTATCAGCATTCACCGCCGTCTTACACAAGCGAAATTGAAGTGAAATAAAAAAATTGCCATTGAAAAAAAAGTACGTAATTTAATTAAAACAAAATGCATACTCGGACAGAAAAGAAACGTAATTTCATTAAAACAAAATGTATAATAAAATTGAAAAAAAAAATGCAATTAAAACAAGCATATGAAAATGTAGCTGTTGGTTGAATTTGTTGTCTGTTAATTCAATTTATTGAGCTAACAGCTATATTTTATTTATATACTTAGGTGTTAGGCTTGTGATAGTTCATAAAACCTATTGTTACTTTAGAATTAGTAATTATAATTGTTGTTGTTGTTGTTAATTTACGTCGCACTAGAGCTGCACAATGGGCTATTGGCGACGGTCTGGGAAACATCCCGGAGGANAATTAATGTTAGATATGGTAAAAGAAAGAATTTTACTATCCCTGTCATTTATCTTACTGATGAAGTTGTACCAACGTGATACTTAAACGTATAAGTTTTAATAAAAAATTTACCATTTGTGTTTTTCAAACATTGTATTTAATAAAACTTACGTTTTTCACAAATTATAATAAAAACCTAACAGATAATATAAACTTAGAAAGCTTATTAGTGGATATCGAAACATCAGTTTTTGAGTTCAAAGTGAAACGTTGGAGCATTTTCCTTCCTTACCGGAAATGTCATGTTTCCTCTTTACCTAACTCTTGTCGAAAAAGTAATAAACTGCGCTTCCACCAGCAGAATGAAAACTTATAAAAAATAAAAATAACTTTGTTTTATTGTTTTTGTTAAGATGGGCTTCAGATCTTCTAATAGTTGGTCTTTCTCTCACTGGCTTCTAGATCCGAGACCCTTAACAAAAGTGAAAGAAGTATTGGATTCTTACAATATAACATTTGAGTGGGAAGTGCCTCATGGACACCGAGATTATTACATCATTGTTTACAATCCAATCGACGATCCACAGGACCAGAAGTCTTTACAGGCAAGATTGCTTTATTATTATTATTGAAATTGCAATAAAGAACATTTTTTCTATTTTTTTAAAAGAACTGACGTCGTCAGTTTCTTGAAAGATTGTTGATTGTGAAAGATCGATATTGTTGATTGATTATTGTAAGATCGATATTGTTGCTTTATTGTTTTTAAAGACCGATATTGTTTTATTATTATTGTTATTGCAATAAAGCACATTTCTTCAATATCTTTCAAGGCACTGAAGCTGTCAGTTCCTTGAAAAATTATTCATTACTGTAAGATCGAGATTGTTACAGGATCGATATTGTTGCAGGATCGATATTGTTGCGTGATTGTTAAAAGATCGATATTTTTGCTTAATTGTTGAAAGATCGTTACTGTTGATTGATTATTGAAAGATCGAGATTATTTTACCGTTATTTTTATTGAATTAAAGCACATTTTTTTCAACCTCTTTCAGTAAATGAAGTAAGACAATATCTAAATAAAAAGATGTATGCTAAAAAATTTTTGCAAATTCGAAACTACTGATTCAAACGTTTAAAAAATTTATGCTTTTTATGTTCTTAAAATGTAGGTACTATAGTTTAGTATTACCTAAAATTTATATTGAAACCAATAATAGTTTAAAATATGCTTATTTGGAAAAGTTTTACATTTATAAACGAAAAACTTCATTATAATTGATATGAAGAAATTGAGGTTATATTGAAGTAACTTATCAGTAACTTATGAACGTCATTTTTGTGTATTACTATTACTTACAAATATCTTTATAATTTTAAATTAATGTTTTAACTCATTTTCTACGTGAATAATTAAAAAAATAGTCATTTCAAATTGAATACTTCTAATGAAAATGAATAACTTTATATTTTTAAAGTTTTGAAAATGTTAGTAATGTAATTTATTACTGCCCCGAATTTATATGGAAAAAAATTATATTAAATAGACTTTTAATCTTTTAAAATTTAGTGTAATGCATAGAAACGAATAACTTCGCTAGAATGGTATACGGATAAACTGATACTATATTGAAATGACATAAAAATGAGTAACTTGAAATAACATTTCTCTGCATTATTATTTACTTTTATAATTATTTATTATTATTATAAACATTTATGGTTATTATTTATTATTATTATAAACATTTATGGTTATTATTTATTATTATTATTATTGATTACTATTATTAATATTGTGACTATTATTTATTATTGATATTTATGATCATTATATATTATTATTATTTATATTAATGTTTATGATTACTTTTTATTGATATTATCTGCAATAAGTATTTATTAATATCATTAAACAGCTGATTATGTGGTCGCTTTAAAAAAAAATTTCAAAAAAATCATGTGAATCACTTTCTGAACTTTGGATGAAACCTAATGAAAAACAATAAGTTAAAACTTCTTTTAGAGTATATTCAAATATTTTAATAAACTATTCAAAATGATTTAATATTTCTTTTTCTGTAATTACAGCAAGTAACACAAAGTATATTCAAAATATAAATTTGTATATTCAAATAAGGAGCAACCATTCAGTGTAGTTCTGGTTTCGAATTATAAAAAAAAAACTAAATTCAGCTAGATTTTTTTTTTTTTGAAACATCGAAACGATGAACCTGAAAAATTGTTTACAATATTTTCAAATTAACTTTTATTCTAAAAATAAAAAAATCGTGGTTTTAAACTATCGTATAGTTTCCTTAATTATTAATTCATACTTTATAGGAAAACTATTTAACAATATTGAACCAACCGAGGAAAAGAAGATAAAATATTTTAATAAATTGATTATTATATTTATGTATGATTGATATAAATTCGAGTAAGGCTCAATGCAGTTATGCAATGTGTTTCTTATCTGTAGGTTGCAGCAAATGGAACAAAACCTATGGAAAAGATGGATGTTATTATTGACGACTTAAAACCAGGAGAACTGTACTCATTTCGATTTTATGCAGTCAGCCATAATTTAAGAAGTGAAGGTGTCACCGTCCAAACTAGAACAAGTAAGTTAAGAGTATTTTTTTTTTTGGTTAAGTGGTTTGTAAAAGTGGTCACCCACCAGCTTACTGACCGCAGCCAGTGATGGTTGACTATCGGTGTTCTACTGGAAAACGTGTCTTTACGTTCAGTCCGCTGTGGAACATGATGCATTTAAATTATCCTTTGTTTCTAAATCACTCACCAATTTCTCATTTTTATTTAGTCTGCGTATATAATTATTTTTCAATTCGTATGTAATATTTCGTTTATATTTAATCATTTATTTAGTTCATGTGTTCAATTTTTATTAATTTGGACGACAATGGAGTATGAATAGTGGCATCTAATTTCTCATTTATTTCTAATTCATGAGTTTAATTTTTACTCATTCATTCGAATAACGACTGAACACAAATAGTTGTATCTAATCTGTGCATCTAATTTCACCTTCATATTATTTAGTTTATACCTTTTCATTTATTTATATTTGTATCAAGTTAACGGAAATAGAACATCAATAGCAGCTTCTAATTTCTTATTCATGTTTTGAAATTTTATTCATTCATTCGAATAACGATTGAACACTAATAGTTGTATCTAATCCATGCAAATTTCTCATTAATTTCTAATTTACCCATTTAATTTTTATTCCTTCATTTGATTAACGATCGAACATAAATAGTTCTATCTAATTTTTCATTTATTTCTAATTTATCTTTTTAATTTTTATGCATTCATTCGGTTTACGACTGTACACAAATAGTTGTATCTAATTTCTCATTTATTTCTAATTCATGCGGTTAATGTTTACTCCTTTTTTGAATAACAATTCAACACAAGTAGTTGTATCTAATTCCTCTTTTATTTCTAATTCATGAGATTAGTTTTCACTGATTCATTCGAATAACAATTGAACACAAATAGTTGTATCTAATTCATGCATCTAATTTCTCAATTTCATCTCGTTTTGTTTAACACATTACTTCTAATTCCGCAACAATCACCCTCAGCTTCATTTAAATCAACAATCTTTCTTTCTTTCAGAGCCTGTTATCGATTCAGTGATCAACATAGTTACTCGAGAGCAGGAGACAAAAACACTAGGCATCAAATACACACCGACTCTTCGTCGAAGTGTCGTGTTTGACCGGTACCGATTTCAACTGAGCGATCCATCAGTACCTGCACAAGAGAAACTCTTCAATGATACCAACACGTTGGTACTTTTCGACGACCTGGTTCCCGGCAGACTCTATGATATTTCAATATGGACCGTTAGTGGCGGTGTGAATAGTGTGCCGATTCATCGACAGACAAGATTGTGTACGTATATTTTATGTTTTTATTATGGAAACCCAGAAAGATATTCAATCTTTTTTAACTATATATAAAAACTATTAAGCTATCTCTATATTAACCCTTTGTTTACGGCTGGTATAACAGGTGTGGGAAGAGTAGAATTCGACCATGTCAACCTTCATCTATAAAAAGGTACTCCAACTTAGAATCGAGTTAACATGTCTTATATACTTGGGAATTGGAATTATATATTTGTAGTGGTAGATATACTACAATACTCCTCCACCAAAATTCTATGAATGGGATTCCACTAGTTGATTCATTGCTGTTTTGAAGAGAAGCCGAGAGAGCTGTATTAAGATCACCGAACGTTTTGAGAGCTGTATTAAGTGGTTGTGGTCCCTCATGTGTTGCCCTTAGCAGTCGAGTGTATGCATTGCACGTGATCGAGACTGAGAAGCAACAGCGTGAGGAGGAGAATGTTGCAGTCACAAGTAGCTAGCAAATTAACTGTTCAATGTGGGCCATCCATCGAAGTAGGCTTGTTCAAATCGAAGGGGGCGTTACTGTTAAGACAGGCGAGTTCATTTCGAAGTGGGAGTTTTTGTCAAAGTAGGCATGTTCCCATCGCGTCCGAAGGTCATCAATGATTTTCAGTTTTAGTCAGCTTTCCAGGAGTGGGCCAATCAACTGTATTCTGCTGTATAAAATTGTCCATTTTTAATTCATCGTTCCTAGACGATAGACAAATTTATCTAACTGAAGAAATTGACAAATATCAGTGTGCAACAAAAGAAGTGAATTAAGTGAATAATGCTTCTAAGTTCTTAAATAGACTTCTAAGTGAAATTTTAATGAATTTCGGTAAATTAGCAATAAAATTTATGCTTTGACAACAGGCTTTAAAAATTAAGTCTTGCTTTAATAATTTATCTGCAAGCTTCAAATTGGCGAAATCATTAAAATTTTAACAATCATATACACTGCTTATATCAAAGCGTTGATTTTCTGCTGCCCAAAGGAAGAATGTCTGAGCGAGATCATTGACTTCAGTTGTTTAACTTTCTTGGAGTCTTCTTCCACTAAAATATCCACGGTATTCTATGAAGTTTGAATGCTTGGCGAGGAAATAAATGTCACATCAATGTAGAAGGTGAAAAAAAAATTTCCCAGAAAAATGTAAATTTTTTTTCGAAAAATGTCACTTAGAAAATGTTTTTCATAAGACGTATAAGAAACATTTCGATTAGTACATTTTATTACAATCTAAAATCCTCCTAAAATTATTATTTTATTAATTTCAGCAACAAGTTGTTTGTTTGTTTAAAAAAAAACTTTTGTATTGCAAAACATTAAACTAGTAGAAAGACCGGAAAATAATGTTGTTTCTGCGTATTACAATATTTGTTTGCCATTTATCACATCATTGTGTACTTGATAACCATGGTAAAGACACTTAATGGTCGGAGTAATTTGTTTACTAAGATAGCCTCCACCAAAAATCGTATTTATGGTAATCGGTAATTTTTTCCTTTCCAGCTCGTATCCATCAGGTAGATCATACCTGCAAAAAAAATTAATGAGTCAGGGTGGGAGGTATTGTTTCATCCAGCATATTGTTCTGATATTGTGTAATCGGATTTCCATTTATTCTAATGGGTACAACATCTTTTAAGCATCTAAAAATTTTAAAATATTGTTGGTGTCTAAAATGTTAGTATCTAAAATTTTGTTGGTATCTTAAAATTTTGTTGGTATCTAAAATGGTGGTATCTAAAATTTTGTAGCATTTAAAAGTTTTAAAATTTTGTTGGTATCTAATTTTGTTGGTATCTAAAATTTTGTTGGTATCTCAAAAATCAAATGATTTTTATCGCTTGAGATTTGAAAATCCGCACCCTAGATGGCAAAAGGCTGTTGATAACGAGATTAACTACATTATTGATTAAAAATAAGAAAGTTTTAAAAAATTATCTGTTTGAATTTAAATTAAGAATAGGACATTACTTTCCTGCCACCTCCAATAACTGCAAAAGCAAGATAACGCCATTAATAATTATTTGTTGCTATTTTTAAATTCGAAGAGTCCCATTGAACTGCTCAGCCAAATACTTATTACACTTATTACTTCAACTTGAAAAAGGTAAAACCAACTGATTAGATTTTCGTATACCCTTTATACAAATTGCAAATTGTTCATACAATCATACTTATAGTAACTATAAATTATATAATATTAAGCTAAATGCTTTCTTGGCTTCCCTTCACTTACTTTTGTATCAATGATATTTTTCCAGTTCCTGAACCCATCACTGAGATTCGAGCTGAATCTGTAACTGACACCGACATTACTCTCAGTTGGAACAGACCTCCAGGTGAAATGGATGGCTATGAGATCCAGTACCAAGATCCCGTTGGACATTTAATCATGAATGTCAGCTTCTCAGAAAGTAACACATTTCGTGATTTGAAACCCCACCACAACTATACGTTTTTGGTATCAGTCATAAGTGGATACGACACTGCAACCGTACGCCGAAGTAGACTCTTGTCTAAGACAGTACAGACACTTGAATCAGGTTAGTATTGATGTCTTTGAGATTTTAAGTAAATACCAAAAATTGAGAGTCGCTACTTGAAGCCTGAATGTGCATTTTGTTTCGGAACGAAAAATTAAATTTTTTTTTACCAATGTTGTGCTAAGGTCGAGTATTGGAGAAGCTTGAATTTTCCAGAAAAAATTTGGAATTTTTTTTTTTTTTAACCAGTGTTGTGATAAGGTCAAGTTTTGGAAATGAGCGATTCGGAACTGGGATCTACTTGAAAAAATTTGAAAAATGTAATTTTTTTCAACCAGTGTTGTGATAAGGTGCAGTGTTAAGAAGGGCGATTCGAAATTTGAGTTTTAAGTAAATTTTTTAAACCAGCTTTATGATAAGGTTCAGTGTTGGAGAAGAGAAACTCAAAACTGGAATTTACTTTAAAAAATTTGGAAATTTTAATTTTTTCCAACCAGTGTTTTGATAAGGTACAGTGTCAAGAAGTACGATTCGAAGCTGGAAGGAGAAATTTGAAAAATTTAATTTTTTTAGCAAGCGTTGTGATAAGGTTCAGTGTTGGAGAAGAGCGATTTAGAACTGGAATTTACTTGGAAAAATTTAATTTAGTTTAATTTTTTCAACCAGTGTTGTGATAAAGTACAGTGTTATAAAATACTGGAATTTTCTGGAAAAAATTTAAAAAATTTAATTTTTTTAGCCATTTTTGTGATAGGGTCCAGTGTTGTGGAAGGGCAATTCGAAGCTGGAGTTAACTTGGAAAAATTTGGTGCTGCAATGTTTTTGGAGAAATAACTCGGAGCAGCGATTTTTTATGAAAACTTCGTTAAGAAATATTTTGGGGACAACTCGGAGTAACAATTCTTTGGGAAATAATTTAAAGTAGCAATTTTGTTTTTCTCAATAATGTGAGAAATCAGCTATGAAATGAATGGGGAATTGGGTATAAAAAGAAAATAGTCCTCAATAATTATTAAAGGATAAAAAGCTTTTGCAAATAAAAATTAAATTGGATAAAATATTGCATTAATAATATAGTAATTTAGAAATTATTTCATTATATTTAATTTTATACTGTTTTCCGATTGATCCGAACAATCGGACCCCCAAAATATAGATGGTATCTGTAAACTAGGATATGGTTATACTTGGAAATATGGCCTATTAGTTCGATCAGGAAAACTGCCCAAAGTTTGGACCCCTTAATGCTAATTGTGCTTCATGCATAATCGCCATGTTTCACCATATCACAGCTTCTTAAGCGAATCGAATTATTTTTGCACGCAGTTATAAAATTCGTTTGTCCAAAGATAGTCCCATGCAAAAAATAACTTTCAGTAAATTTTGTTATTTTTTAAAATAATGGTTGGAAAAAAATTGAATCGCAAGGTATACAATTTCTTGCATAATTTTAAAGAATATAGTGGCAAAATACAAAATTTGAGGGAAATCGGTTGATTAGTTCCTGTGAAATTGAATTTCAAAAAATCGTATTTAAAAAAATTGATTTCTCAGAAACTATTCGACCGATTTCACTTAAATTTTGTATTTTGCTGGGAAAAATCGAATCCTTTAAAATGCTGTAAAGAGCTGTTTACCTTCTAACTCCTCTATTTTTCAACTAATATTAAATGAAATAATAAAAAAGTATAAAATATTAACTGAAAGCTTTTTTAGTAAATATTTATCATTGGAGTTATCTTTGGACAAGCGAATTTTATCATTGGGAGCAAATTTTTTTTAATCCGCTTAAAAAGTTCTCGAAATTTGGAGAAATGTAAAAAGTAAACTTTGAAACGCTCTCCTGACTAAACTATTGGGACCATATTTCCCAGATTACGACAACCCCTATATTTCTGGGGTCAGAAAGACGAATTCTTCAAAAGAAGGTATGCTTATTCAGAGAAAGTACGTATTNCTTTGTGTCTGATTTCGTATTTCAAAATATCGCCAGCGCTAACTATTTAGCATATTTGTAAGAACCCCTTCGTATAATTAAGATCGAATCCTAGAACGAGAAGATCCGATTATTAGATCAAAGGATTTTCAGGATAGTTCGTTTTTTTATTTTTTATTTTGCGCATTGAAAGTTATAGTTAAATATAGAGCCATAATACATAGGCTTGCTGCATTAAAATATCTTAAACAATGATTTTATTACTTTGTTTCATTTTATTAATGAATATCCCCTTAAACTCTTGTCGAGGCTAAATAATTTTACAACTTTTCGAACTTAATTAATTTGCTCTAGTTTTACATAAACTTTTCTTCTATACTCTTCTCTACTTTATAGTTCTAGAAATACGAGACACTTGTCTTATGTATTTTGATCGTAAACACGTTATTTCAGGAAAAAAATAAACAAAACAACAAAACCTTAAGTCGATTTCCAAACAAGAACTCCAGGTCTTTTCTTTATAAATCTAGATTAGTTCTAGACTGTACAAACAGTGACGATTTTTTTATTGTTATAAATGATGACCCAAGTTTTTAGAAATAAATTTTTAAAAAAGTAGGGCTTCACAAAGAATTATCTTTCCATTTTTGTTTATTTTTTTCTTTTAACATTAAAACTACCATTACAAAGCATATTCATTCACTAATATTAAACATACTAAACATTAAACATTAAAAAAAGTATTCATTCAAGAACTCTTTTAAGCTAACAGTTTTATTATTTTTTGAATTACATTATGTAATGAATCTTATAAACATTTCAATTATATTCTGAGAAAAAGAAGCATGGTAAAAACTACTAGAATATGGCAAAATTTACAGTGTTTCAGGCTTCATAGGAATGCCAAAAAGCTCAGTAATTTTTTGAGAAGCACTTTAATAATAATTTCGGTAAAATTAACAATAAAATATTATTTTATAATGTGTGATGAAATTTGGTAAATGAGGTAAAATTTGTAACTTTTTCATGATATCTTAGAGCGCAGCATAAAAGCCATTTATTCGATTAAATTTTTTTTTTAGTTTTGTATTTTTTACTAAACGTGTAGTAATGAAAACTATGTATGTGTGGTAAATGCGGTAAAATTTTTTAATTTTTTCATGTTATTTTAGAGGGCAGTTTTAGAGTCATTTATTCGGTTAAATTTATTCATTTTTTTTTTGTTGCTAAATGTGTGGTATTTCTAGTTCTTATGAACTAGAAAATCAGAATTTCCAGAAAACTGAAAAATTACAGAACAGAAAAATTACCAAATAAATTATTTAAATACCATATATTTTGGTTTTTAATACCAGATATCTGGGTTTTTTTTCACCAGAAATATTATTAGCACACAGTACGGTAATTTTCCCAGAATTTTTTTATTTCATGTATGAAGGTGCCCGTATAATTTTTTAAGAAAGTGATTTAAGAATTTTGAAGTAATAAGAACTTCAGAACACTTTTAAAATCATCTGACCTTATATTAAATTTTAATTGCAAAATATATTATGTGTTTTAAAACAGGAAAATATTTAAAAAAAGCATATTTTAATGATCTGTTTAATATTTTATTTCCTCTTTAAACAGGAAATTTAATTATTGTTACAAGAATAAAACATAGATTCAATTAATTTTTTAAATAATATTTTTAAACTGAATATATACTGATTATAGTAGAAATGATAAAAAAAAATATGTTGCATAATATGCTTAATGCGTGATTTAAAAAAAAGTATTAATGAAATTTTTGCGAATTTTTTCCTCGATCCGTGATTCATGCTTTTAAATTCATTCAATCGTGAAAATTTATCGTAGTTTTCAAATAATTATTTCCAGAACGTCAGCAAAATTATTTACATTAAAAAAATGTTGATGGCAAAAATGAAACAAAGAAAAAAAGTATGAAATCATTGACGCGTAAAATTTAATATGGCTTATTATTTCCCTTAGTTAGAGAGAAGCTTTTCAAATGTTGAATAAGCCCATTTTGCACGCAGTACAAGAAACTATTTAAAGCATATTACCGAAATGCAATTAGGGAAAATGGCTGCATTCCCTGCTTGTTTCTACGTCTGTGTGTGGAAAATAAGTAACACTATACAATTGATAGAAACTTAAAATGTGTAAGCTGAGTTTTTTGCAGCATGGACATTATTGGGTAATAACAATTTCATATTTCATGTAATACAAATTAGCATGCAATTAAACGTTAAAATAATCATTTTAATAACAGTTTTATAAGTTCTACAACTAAATGCATTATTATATGAACTAGTGGGCTCCACCACCAGTTAGCTGAATTTGCTCATCTTCCGAAGATCGCATATAGTTTGCTTTGCAAACCATGCTTGCTTTGTTTGCTACTAAGTTAAATCCATTTGAAATGTTTTCCAACTTAAAATATTAAGTATTTAAATCAAGTACTAAAATCTTTAAAACTAATTCATTTTTAAAAACAATTTAGTCACTAATATGTAATTGAAATATTTTTTTTTTAAAATTGAAATAAACGTCATTCAATCGAAGACTAAACTTAACATTTGCTTTTTAAAAAAACCTTAATTATAAATTTTAGGACTTACCATTGTAAGGCTGTCAAATGATATAACTCTTAACAATTATTATTATTGAAAGTGAATAGGTATAATTAAAACCTATTTTGTTTGTTGATTTGGATTTTTTAAACTTTTCAATTCTTCCTAACTTATTACTCTATTTAAGTTTTTGATTGTCACGAGGGAAAAAAAATTCATTCAGAAATTTGTAAACATATACGCTTATGCTTTCATGCTTATGAAAGCTCATACGCTTGATATTTCAATTCATTGTTGCAAACGTGAAAAAGAAATGAACACTTTCTTTGTCGCCGTGAAAGAGAAATATATATGAAGTTTAGTAATGTTTTTAAACATGTTTAATATCATATCGCCATAAGCTCTGTTGTTCTTAACTAAAAGTACAATGCTGTTTCTTTCATTACAGTCAATTTTTATGTTTAATACCACATTTTTTGTTTTAATATCATTTAGTAGGAATAAAAATAATTAATAACTTTCATTAATCAATGTTTAAACAAATTAGGACTATTTATTTCTATCACTAAGATCAATAGAAGGGTATAATGCAAACAAACCTTGAGAAATCTTGAGTAGCAAAAATTTCAAGTTTGTTAATAGTTAAACTGTTAGGTAATCATTTATTATTTTATTATTCATTATTTTATTTATTATTTATTTATTATTTATTAATTATTTATTTGTTATTTATTTATTATTTATTAATTATTTATTTGTTATTTATTTATTATTTAATTATTTATTATTTAATTATTTGTTATTTATTTTTTACTTCATTATTTATTTATTATTTTATTGTTAAACTTTAAAATAATTATTATTTCATAATCTTTTTAACAACATTGTTTTCTTTTATATTTAAAATCCTTTTACAATAGCTATTATGACGAATGATTTTTGATATCAGACATGAAAATTGAAATGAGATAGCAATGAATCTGTGAAATTAGAAATTGACGTATTAAGGAAATGGTGGATCCCTGAACCAATGAATTGGTAATTCTGACGAGTCAAATTTGAAATTGGCAAATTAGTTTATAACTACATTTAAACATATTTTTATTTAAATTAAAATATATTAAAGCATATTATCAACCTCTTCTCTGTTGGCGTCGTATCTCCTACATTCCGCGTTTTTGTGCTCGCATGGTCGGCATTATATGCCAGGCAACGAAGAAAAAAAATGATTGAAATTGAATTTGTCGTTACTTGCACGCCTCTTTAAATTCCGCGATTATTTTCGTATTTCGGAATATTGATAAGAGATGGCGCAACTAGTCCCCTTTTCTTCACAATTTTCGCAGTTAGATTTCCCTCCTTGAATTGAAATCAAAATCATTTTGTACTTTCTGTAATTTCACTTTCATTAGTGTTACCGTTGCATGTCAAAATAGTTGTGATTTTTACCCTCTGATATCCAAGGATTGTAAAGCTGTTTAAGCGGTGAGGATGAAAAATTATTTGCCAAAATATTTTTTTTACCTAATTTTAGTAACTATTTCATGCATACATCCATCTTAAACACCTTAAAGCAATAGAATCAATAAGTATGTTATCACAGTGTATTTTTTTAAGATAAAACTTGGGTGCATTGCAGGGAAAACTGGAGATTAGTGGTCAAGCAAAAAACTGTTTGCTGATAAAAATATTTTGCATTTTCGAATTTAAAATCGAACAAATATTAATTTTCAGTAATAAAAAAAAACTATATTTGAGTCGGAAATTCGATATAAAATCAGACAGAGAAGGGGTTAAATATATACTTTCGAAGAGGAAAAATACAATCGACGGAATTTTTAATTTTGAAACAGTTTAGAACAGGTGAAATAACCGTGAAATATCGCAAGAAAATGATTGATCTCCAGATAATCCACTTCGCGGACATATCAATACGCTCAAAGATTGCATTGGTGCAAAAACTATTGACCATCATTTGGCTTCGGTTTTTAAGCAACCCCATTGTAGCTAATTTTGCTTTTAATCTACTTCTTATGGGATAGATTGTTGGTTAAATGAAAAGGTGATTATGGTGTCACAATCTCTAAACCCTCAGTTTTGAACAATTTTGTCTCATCCAGATTTGAATAAAAAGAGTTAGAGTTAATTGTTAGAATTTATTCATGAACAGTTAATTATTTTCATTTGTTTATCTATTTCTTATTTTTTTTATTCTCAGTACCTGGACGAGTGCATTTCTTTAGAGCAGTTGAAGTGAAACCCAATGAAGTAGTTTTGCAATGGACTTTACCAACTACAGAACAAAATGGTGTGCTCACTGGATTTAAAGTCACATACTTTGTAAAGGTTGGTATGCTTTAAATGCAAATTTTGTAAATCCTTTAACATTGAAAAACTTCGTGAATAAGCTTTGAAGAGCCACTTGAAATAAACCAAAGAAAATATTCGAATTTTAGAAATTTTTCTATACTTTTCTTGCCATAATTAAAAATTGTCAAAACAGAAAATGAGATAAAAAATATTTGTTTTTGTCATCAAACAAAAATAATTTATTACAAAATATTTCCTATAACTTTTTTTCTTTTGTTAACGTAGGATACTACAAGAGCATTCTACCACGCCGCTATTATCTACTTATTATAGGTTTTTACTTCAGAAAAATATTTTTTTTTATAAAAAGGAAAATATTTTGAAATATTTTTTTTTAAATAATGGCAAAAACATACCTAAAAGACAAAGTTTTCCGTATTGCAAATCATAAATCATTTAATTAACACACTATGTTTTGCTCATAGACTCCATAAAATAAAATTGAAATGAACCAAAGAAAATATTCGAATTTTTAGAATTTTTTTGTACTTTTTATGCCACAATTTTTTTTTAATTAAAAGGCGCATTAAAAATTGTCCAAACAGAAAATGTACTAAAAAATATTTGTTTTTGTCATCAAACAAAAATAATTTGCTACAAAACAATTTCCAATAACTTTTTTTCTTTTGTCAACGTAGGATTCTATAAAAGCATTCTACCACACAGCTATTATCCACTTATTATAAGCTTTTACTTCAGAAAAATATTTTTCTTATAAAAAAAAAAAGTTTTGAAATAATTTTTTTTAAAAATAATGGCAAAAACATACCTAAAAGACGAAGTTTTCCGTGTTTCAAATCATAAATCATTTAATTAACACACCATGACACTCATAGACTCCATTAAAAAAAGTTTCCAATAGTTATCCTTGAAATTTTAATGTTTTTCCCCCTTGAAAACTCTTTAAATGTCCTTGAATTTTGTTTTTACTTTTACGTATGAACTATGCATGTGTATTGTGACTCATATTAAATTAAATATATGCAAACATACCAAACTATTATTATCATAGTTTCAAAGTTGCAATTGTCTTAGTGTTATTGTTTTAATTCATTCATAAACTTTTTCTTCTTTAGTTATAGAAGAAATTTGTTTAATTAGTTTTTCAAAAAATTATTTTTGTTTATAAAGTGTTTTCTATTTACAGGGTACTAGTAAACGTAGATACGAATATTTTGAGCCAACTGAAACCAGAGGATTAATTTCCGGTTTGATTCCAGGGATGGAATATGTCTTCGAAGTAAGTGTCGGTACACAGTAAAAAATTCCCAATTAAATAACGGTACCGGTACTCAGGGTGCCGTTACTTTTTATCGTAAAATCAATCTTTATCAGAACATGTTAAATAACGAAAAATCTAATATACCTTAATTTTTGTAGTAATAAATACAATAAAATCTCTAAACCTCTCTAATTAAATAAATATTACTGTAAAAACTCCGGTATACCCACTTTACGGTAAAAATGGATTTTGCGATAAAAAGAATTTTACGGATAAGGCATACAAAGTGCCGATACTTTCTACCGGAATTTAATCCGGAATTTTTTTACAGTGCAGTTGCACGTCATAGTTTTTTCTTAAACTAGCTAGAACTTTTTTCTTAAGCTTAATTTAGTTAGAAAGATAAAAGTAGATTGAAATTATAACTTTATGATGGAAGTCTTAAAAGTTTATACACAAGTTTACTAATTTAGCTGTTTATACCTGTGATAAGCTGGAGACATTATTGAACAAAAATTACTTATGCAACTACAACTGCTTTGCAATACATACAAAATCATCGTAGAGGACGAAAAATTCAAAATTGAGATTTTTATGAACTTGGCGTTTTGTATTGTGAATTACAGAGTGCGAAAAAAAATCACAAATAAATTTTACTCTATCAACTTTCTTCAATTTTAGCACTCAATTTAGCTCAAATTAGCAATAGTAAGAAAATTGTTCTGAAACCACTTTTCTCGAAATATACACTGTTAGAAGTTTCATTCTAAAATTATGGTAAAATCACTGACAGCATTCTGTCCATCCGATCAACTGTAAAATTTACGGTTGATAATAATGAATTCATATGGTCAATAATAAGAATTAATAATAAGTTTACGGTCAATAAAATAATAACGGTAAACAATAATTTTTACCTTTACGGTTTTGAAACCGTTCACAACTAGTATGGGTATAAATCCATGAATACAGAACTAAACGATTTTTCAACCATTTACAACTAGCATGGTTTCAAAACCGAAAAAAAAAACGAAATTAACTGGACATAGGAGATAGGTTTTTCAGTAGGTAATGGCCGTTGGAGATTGCAGGACACTGGAAACTTTTCATCTGAAAGGAATGATTGTGCTGTCTGGGATTCGAACTCCAATTCTGTCGGTCATGAGACCGACAGATTAGCCCTATCGGTTATTATGCATTGTTAAACCGTATTAGAACATTGTTAAACCGTATAAAAACAGTTAGCAGATGATTTTTCTCATTGTTAACAGTTTGATTACCATCTTAATTATGGTTATTTGACGGTTTTGTTTAAATACGGTTAAATAACAATTAGATAAATTGTAATTTAACCATTTTTTACGAGAAATTTCCAACAGCGTATCGTGAAGCACTTACGTTGTTTTTTCATTTGCACGGCAGTGTGCACCATAAATAATAGTTTATTATAAATCAGATGCAAAGTATTTAATTGCTTGTATTTTTAATGCGTTGAAATTACAGATCCAAGCTCATACAAAAGTGGGACCTGGTATAACAACAGTATCTGAGGAAGCTACGCCGATTTGGGGTAAGTAAAGGAATTAATCATTGTAAACTATCAATAACAAGACTTAGAAAGAAAGGAAAATATTTATTCTTAATCACATCTTAAAGCATATATCCATAAAAAGAGGAGGGATGTAAAAAAAACATATTTCTTATTAAATTTTAAAAAAAATTAAAAAACATGAAATCTCATATTTACTTTATTAATTTTATTAGTTTCATGATACTTATTAAATCGATTATCTGAATTTACTGTAGTGTTAGTAGAGCTTTGCATTCTAAAAAATGTTTGTAAAACTGTGATAAGCATTATTTTTAATAAATTTATTTGGGTACTTATTAGTTATTTAGTTTTAAGAATTATCACGGTGTTTTAACAATCATTTCTGCTACATATTATGCTCCTATTATAAAAAAAGATTTTTGTTAATGTTTATTCAAAGAAAGTATGTTTTTGTGGCTTATTTCGCAACTTAAAATATCGTTTGCACAATAAATTGACCTATTTTAGATAAGACATTCCTACCATTAAGATTGACACCTAGTACGTGAAGACCTGTTCATTCGAATATAAGTAATCTAAGGTGTTCATTTTTCTGGAACACTGAACTTACATTGAAGTTTCATTACGATTTTAATTTTCAATAAACATTTAAAAAAATCAAATATTAATTATTTTATGAAAACAAATATCTACTATATTTCTTTTAAAAAAAGTCAAAAGATAAATTTTAATTGCGTTAATTAGCATTTATTTCTTGACCCTTCTTCTTATAATTAATAAATCATGCAGGACAGTAATGTTTTCCTAAACAACAGAAATACCAGGGGTCTTAATTAGTAACAATTTCAAAAATCATTTTGAAAAACAGAATTTTATGAAATATATTTCTCTCAGCAATGGAGATCGATTTCACGGGCGGCATCTGTTAATTTTGTTCTCATATTTTTGCCTTTTTATTGCTGCAAAACAATATCTTTAAAATATTATTTTGAATTTGGTATTTTAAATACACCATCTATTGGCGAAATTCGCAACTAATTTTAAAAATTAGAGATGATAGATTCTTTAGTTTCGTGAGCAATACGTATCAAACGATACACTTTATTTCCTATATTTGGTTGGTTTTTCAAATCATCTGTCATCTTCGGACCGGATTTAAAACATCACACAGGAATCATACAGCACCAAAACAGAACTATTCACTTATTTCGTAATTCATTAAATAAAAGTTGCTACAATTCAATTTTTTTTCTTCCTTAAAGCTCCTCCCCCACCTGATTCAAATGTGGAGCCAAAAGTGGTCTCATGCACAGCCAATAGATGATGTATTTAACATACACCATCTATTGGCGAAATTCGCAACTAATTTTAAAAATTAGGGAGAATAGATTCCTTAGTTTCGTGAGCAATACGTATCAAACGATGCAATTTATTTCCGATATTAGGTTTTTCAAATCATCTGTCATTTTCGGACCGGATTTAAAACATCACACAGGAATCATACAGCACCAAAACAGAACTATTTACTTATTTCGTAATTCATTAAATAAAAGTTGCTACAATTCAATTTTTTTCTTCTTAAAGCTCCTCCCCCACCTGATTCAAATGTTGCGCCAAAAGTGGTCTCACGCACAGCCAATACAATCAAGATAGAATTTACAAACAATTTTTTCTCCTCCATCAATGGAAGAATCATTGCTTATACATTGATTGTTGCCGAAGATGAGAGCAAAGACTCAAATGCTTTGCGCATGCCAACTTGGACAGATGTTCAACAATATCCGAAATGGCCCCCATATCAGGTAAGGAAACTGTATTTTAAATACCTAACCTATTTTAAACTAATGTTGATTAAATAAACTTGAATCGTCCTAATATAAAGAAAATGGTTGTCACATGATCGATTGAATTTCACCGCAACTGGGTGGCTGCAACTGACGTCATCGTATAGGTAAATCGTGGTGTTTGTCGATTCAGAAACCAATCAGGTTCGTCACTTAAAAGGTATCCAATTCAATCTGATTTAAATCACGTGGTTAAATCTAATCACTTCACTTCTTCTAGAGTTGCAAGCACCCTAAGGGTATAAATTTCCAATTTCTGTCAAAATTATCTGAAATAGTTATGTTTTGAATTTGTACTGGTGTTTCATTAGCTCCTACGTTTTTTTTTTTTAACTAAATTATTACAATGTTTGGTTTAACTATTTCGTTGTTACAAGTTCAACTTTCCTTATTAAGTCTCAAGTTTTAAAAGTTTGCGAACACAAATAACTATAAAGAATATCTCGATAAAATTACACAAAACTGAAGTCGTTAATTAAATGAGCTGAAAAAGTACATCATGTACATAATTAAACATGGTATGATTAAACTTCTGAAACATTTATTATAGGCTCTTTGTTATCTATTAAATTAAATGAAAATAAAAATAATGGAGAGGACGTAACACAGTACATTGTACGATCTATAACGTTTAAACTGTTGTGTTATAACTGAGAACACGGCCTCGTTGTTTTGCTCATTAGGAACTAATTGCAAGCTCGTCCTAATATTTGGAAAATAGTACCAGTTTTAATTGTTACTATACTTTACTATAATTGTTACTATACCGTTACTAAACTTTAATATATATATATACATATATATATTAAAGAATTAAAAATTACTTTTTTTAATTAATGTATTTTTTACATTTGTCTTTTTGAAATTTTTTATTAATTTTCGAAGCTTTATTGTACGTTATGAAGTGCGATTATTCCAAGACAACCGACACTACACCAATCGGTGGCTACTAAAGTTAAAAGTATTTGTGAGTAAGAGCTATTTCTTAAAAAAATTTCTCAAATGCACTCAAAGTTTAAAATAAAGTTTCCGGATCACAAAATTTTCACAGAAAAAGATTACGCCAGCACCACGTGCTTACTTTCCTCCAAGAAAATACAAAGGAAAGAAGCAACTTTATTTTCAATCAAAAACCGCGTTAGCACTGTCAGCCGAAAAGACAAACAAACATTTTTTTTCTTCACGTTGGAAACTACAACGACGTTATCTCACTTTCATGACGTCGCAAGAGTAACAGAATTTCATTTTCTGTCAACTCTCCAAGGTAATTGATTCGCTGGAGCTACGGAAGACCCTAGAATGCCTCAGAATTTTTTCTTTATTTTATTCTACTTTATCTTAGAGAGTGGGCAAAGGTCGGGTATTATTTCAGATAGATCATAGAGGTTTTTTTTTCCAGGTGCACGAACCGTACTATCCCTTCAACGATTCTCTGGTGGAAGATTTCGTGGTAGGTGCTGAGAACTGTAAAGGTGTCTTGGAAGGGTACTGTAATGGGCCCCTGAAGCCAGCTTCATCATATAGAATAAAAGTGAGGGCGTTTACTACTGACAGTGCATTTACGGATACAGTGTTTTCTTATCCTATTCAAACAGGTGAGTTGCATTTTTGCTTCTGCCTTTAAGGATTTTGTTTATCAGCTAGCATTAGTCGCAAATCTAATTTGTGTTATTATAATTTAGAACATTTTGTTTATTAATTATTAAATAATTAATATTGTAAAGCCAGCATCTTTAGACATTAAAATGCTTGGAATAGATTTTTTTCATCAATTTACGTTTAACGTAAATCAATTTTGAGTATATGGTATTATGACAATTTTAAATATTTTGTTTATTTGATGAGGGTAATACACTTTGAAAATTTTTAAACATTAAAATGGTACGCAGGATTTTTTTTTATAAAAGCGTGAAAATCATAAATAGATTTTGATTCAATGATATTATGACTATTTAAAATAATTTATTTATTTAATAATCAATAAATATTAATGAGTGACTAATTTTGAAAGTTTTAAAACATGAAAATGATTGGCATGATATTTTCTATCTATCTGCATTAATGAACTATCTAGTTTGAGATAATGATGTGATGTTTAATTAAGTTATTTGTTTACTAAATAATTAATATATTATGATCTGATACTAAATTGTTTAGACATTAAGATCAATAGACATTTTTTTATCAGTTTGCATCAAACAAAGTCAATGACATTATGACAATCTAAAATATTTTATTTATTAAATGATCAATAATTAATTAAGTATGGACCGCTTCGAAAGTTCTTGGACACAAGTCTTGAGGCAGCATGACTACATGCTGACAAAGTTTACTACACTGTTAGAAATTCTGCAGTGCTATAAATCATAAAATAAGTTCAAATTAGCTGCATCCTTAATAAATTTAAGTCCGTAAAATTATGGAAAGATATTGCTTAGTTGATGTTAAATTAGCTACATCTTTGATGAGGAGCTAAGTTGAACTATATATTGCCGTAATTTTATTTAATAGATAAATAAAAACATATTGTTAATTAGAATAATTTATTTATTCATAAAGCTTCAAAGGCTACACTCTCAGAAAAATCAATTCAACTTTAAATTCTAGTATCGGTACATTGAATCATGATACAATGAAAAGTTTCCTCAACCTTAATAAGGTGTTTAAATGAACCGAGTTTTGATCTAGGTTGAGTCATTGTATCGTATAATCAAGTTCAAGAAGAATTATCTGCAAAAATGATTTTCGACAGAATTCAATTTCAGAGTTGAAACTTGGGGAATTGAAAGGACAATATTTGCATATGAACTTAACACAGAGTTTTTTTTTTCGGAACTCCAATTTGTTAGAAAGTTATTGCAGTTTTATGTGCTTTTTTTGCTATTTTCTTCATCCCTTTTTAAATTTACGTTGCATTTTGTTTCCCTACACAAAATGCATTAGACTTCAAGACTTGAAATTACAAAGGTATGCAGAAAAGCGCTCAGGGGATACGATAAAATAAAGTTAAGATTCGACGATTAGTTCAAGACTTATTAATTGTTATCAAGAATTATTAAAATAGCCTGTTTGGTCAATCTACAGCCCGTTGAAATGCAACTATGGTGATAAAATTTCACTTGCTTAAAGAGCCTTTTTTATTCGTGATCTTAACGCTGATTTTGTTTTGAAATTGCAATTTGTTCGAAAGTTTAAATGCTTGTTTGTGATTTTTTTCAGCTTTTTTGCTTTAAATATTGACTATTTATCCATTGTCGAAGACAATTTATTTTCCACGCTTGAGATTCTTTATTTTTTGTTTTATCTGCTCATTCTCGAGTAGATGTCAATCAAATTAGCAAAATATAGAGATTACGTGTTGCCAATTATAAATCCTAACATTTATTGTGAAATTTTTTTACTTAATAAAAAGACCTAAAAAAACTGCTCAATATTCTAATTGCTATAAATCTGTTAAATGAGTACGATTTCTTCTTATTTATCTCTAAATGTTAAGTCACCCAATTTGTATTCCTTTGTTTAAACTTCTTCTTTTCAAATTCAGATGCTTTTTTTTCAAATCCAGATAATCGTCGATTTCGTTATGAATGATTAACATAACGCTACATCAGAGATTTACATGATTTCATTACATTTAACATGTCTTATATAAAACTACAATAATTGTATATTTTGAAAACAAAATACTCTGTGTTCGTATAAAAAATAATAAATTTTACATACATTTGAGGGACATAAAACAATGATACAATGATATATGAGAAGCATTTACACGCTTTAATTGGCCTCCTAGTGCTTAAAAACTTTCTAAAGTTACTTTAAATCAAAAGTCCACATTTTATAAGAGCACATTAAAACTTTCAACTAGATTTTTCTTTGTATTCAAGTGAGGTTAACTTTGTTTTTTTTCTAACATTTTGGCCATCAGCCATTGACTTAGTGGAAACCTCCGTGAGTATAGTTTACAAAAAATTTTCTTACTCGTTAGTTCTTAAAATAGACACAACTACATTCAACGAAAGCGTTGTTTTGTATTATTTGTATGGGTTATTTGTTTCAACGCAATTTCCTTTTTTCTTGAAAATTATTAAATGCTATTTTTAACTGTTTGTGTTTATAAGCGTATTGTAATCTTTTTCAATATTATACAAAGCATTTATATTGTTGTATTTATTGCAAATTGCATTTCACGTTGTCACTATCGTTTACACAAAAAATATTTCTTCAAATTAGTTTTATTTAATAATATACGAATTAATTTATCAGTTTTGATCTGTTCATGATTATATTTTCGGAAGAGATCAGAATGCATTCCTAATAACTGAACAATTAAAAAGTATTTGGATATAAAATATCTTTGTCTTGATTCATTTAAAGACAAAAGAAATATACACTATAAGAAATTCCTTATCGTAAAAAGTACCGGCAATTAGCGTGATGGTATTTTTTGCCGTAAAATCCATTTTTATCACAACATACTACCGAATAAAAAATCTGATTGCTGTAATTTTTACAGTAATAATTACCTTAAAATCACTGAATCACTGTATTTAACAAAGTGTTACTTTAAAAATTACGATAAAAAACGATTTTATGGATGATGCTCACAAAGTGCCGGAATTTTATACAGTAATTTGATCCAGGATTTTTTACAGTGTAGCTAAAAGGAAAAATAATTCACTAATTTTATTGTTTTGATGCCTTTTTCTAATTTGTGACCTAGACCTCTAAAGAAGTTTATTCTCCGAACTCTTTGTTTTGCTTTTAATTTGTTTCTTTGACCATTAAAATAATTATTTCACAAAACTTATAAATTTGCTTACACTTTCTAATTAAATTTCTACACAGTGAAATCCCAAAATTTTATTTCCCAAACTTAAAGTTTTGTATCCACTTTCCAATTAAATTTTATAGATATCTAGAAAAACCTTAATTTTCCAAACTTACAATTTTATCACTTTGTTCTAATTAGTTTCCCAAGTTATTGAAACAAAAAACTGTTTTCCAAATTTGTTTTTTTGCCACAGACAACTGTAAAAAAAGGATTATTTACCAAATTTATTGTTTTGCATTCCCTTTCTAGTCAGTTTTTTAGACAGCTAAATAGAAAAAAATTGTTTTTGCACTCTTGTTTTTTATTTTTATTTATTTATTTGTCTATACTTAGGTTGATTACCTAAACTGATGAAACATACATTTATTGAACAAACTTATTGTTTACTTTTCAACTTATTGTTATAACAATTAGTAGTTATTGCAAACTTATTATTATCAACAATTAGTATTTATTACAAACTTATTGTTATTTACCCTTTATTTTCTAACTACACGGAGGAAATAATTCTGGTAAAATTACCATACTGTTTGCTAATAACATTTCTGGTAAAAAAAAGAACATAATTCTGGTTAATGAGACCAAAATATACGATTTTTAAACCGCTCGTTAGGTAGCTTTTCCATTCCTATGGTATACCAAGACACATGATAACCGTATAATCATACGTGATATTTATAATTATATATAACCGCTATAACGGTTTACCAAAAATTTAAATTTTCAAAATTATAGTTCGTATTACCAAACATTTAGTTACCAAACATTAAAGAATGCAAAACTGGAAACTAAATTCACTCAGATAAATGGTTTTTATGTCATGCTCTTAGATATCATGATATAATTACCAAATTATATAAGTGAAATTTTGCAACAATACAAATTACATTAATTATTAATGACATTAATAGTGATATGATCATAATATTGATATCTACATTCTCATAAATTAAAAAAATATTTTAAGAAAAAAATTGTCGGAAAATATTAATCGTATTTCACGGGGAAGAATTTCTAATAAAATTACCATACTGTATGGTAATGACATTCCTGTTTAAAAAAAAGCATAATTCCGGTCAATAAAAAAATTACGGTATCTAAACCATTAGTTTAGTAATTTTTCCGTTCATATGGTAGCGGCTTACCAGAAATCTGGTTTTTAAAATTATAGTTCTTATTACTACACATTTAGTAAAAAATATAAAACTGTAAAAAAAAATTAACCAAATAAATGGTTATTATGCCTTCCTTCCTCTAAAGTATCATTATAAAATTACCAAATTTTACCACATTTTCCAAATTTTATCACATGTTATAGAACCAAATTTTACCCAATTACCAAATTTTATCACATATTACGGAGCGAAATTTTACCACATTTACCAAATTTTATCACAGATTAAAGAACTATATTTTACAGTTAGTTTAACCTAAATCATAAACAAGGAGCTTCTGCAAAAGTTTCCCAGCTTTCTGGTGTTCACATAGAACCAAAAATACGGAACACTTGCCATATTCTCATAGTTTTGATCATACTTTTATTCTAAGTATAGATAGCAAACGTTGAATATATGTAGATGCTTTTATTAATTCTTATTACGAATGCGGTATTAAATGTGTTATCACCTACCTTCACCCATCTGTTCTAAATAGATAATCTGTACATATTTAACCAACAACATCTCAACAGGGAACATAGTTATTGCAAAACTTTTTTTATAACGAGGACATTTGTCTTTCTTTATAGCAAGATTAAATGTTTGTTGATTTATCCGTTGTTTTAGATTTAAGATAAATTTGTTTACTTGATTGTATATTGGTAAAACGTAACCTGAAGAAAGCGGTTTCTTATCTGAATTTTATGCAACTCTCAATTCATTCATTTCATCAACTTTCAATTCAACTTTTTTTAAATCTGTGTTTATTTACAGTATATACACTTAATGTATATTATTTCAACGGTAAAATGTTGTCGGATAAGGATTTTCTTTTCTATATATACACCATAACCATGATTCACTTTTTTTCTTTGTACCGTTTTTATTTCCCAATTTTTTTTTAATTATATCGAAATATCTGATTTTCTTTATTTGCAACTTGTAATTCCTCAATGTTTTTACTTATTTGTTTGTTTACGATAGTTTGAAATTATTGTTAGATACATGTGGTTTAATTTTATGCAGTATTTCCCCGAAGCGAGGTTCGTTATAGATTGTTTTCGGATAATTAAATAATATATACGCTATAATTTTTTAAAAAAAAACTGCACAAACAATTAATATTTTACCAGGAGCTCTCCTCATACACGGAGAGAAAAAAATCTGGTAAAATTAACGTACTGTATGGGAATGTTATTTTCTGGAAAAGAAAAACATATTTCTGATGATAATACCAAATTATATGGTATTTATAATCCAGTCATTTGTTAATTTTTCGTTAATATAGTAATGGTTTACCAGAAATTCTGATTTTTAAATTATAACTCTCGTTACCAAACATTTAGTAAAAAATGCAAAACTGAAAAGTAAATTTAACCGAATATATGGTTTTTATCCCGCACTCAGAGAAATCATGATAAAATTATCAAATTTTGCCTCATTTATTAAACTTTATATTGCATATTATGGCATTATGTTTTCCGAACAATTTAGCCAAATCATAACCAAATTTACCAATCTTTTTGGTGTTTCCATAGAGCCAGAAACTCGGTAAATTTAACCATATCCTGGTTCCTATACTTTTTATACTTAAAATTAATTAAAGTTGCTATTCACAATAATTTTATATGGAATTCAGAAATGGCTATTTCTGTTTCAGAGGCAGACAATCGGACGCTGTTGGCCGGCATCCTTGTCCCCCTGGTGCTGCTAGTATTGGTTGTTGGCGTGGCCCTCTTCTGGAAANACAAAAGTATGGTTGAAAGCAATAGATAGGGTAAAAGTTAACTGTCGGTTCTGCCCTGTTAAATAGGTCACATTAAGGTTTCAGTTCATTTAAACTAACAATGTGTGGATTTATAGTTTAATGGTGAGGCTATCCCATAGGTTCCCAAAGTGGTCCAGGTGCACCCCCAGGGGTCCGTAGGAGACCACACGGGGGTCCACGTAGACGTGAAAAGAAAACAGGGGTTCACAAGTTGCAAATGGGGGTCCACGAAAATTTTTCTGGTTTTCATAATAAAGAACAAAACTTTTGGCTTGGATTTACCTTAAAAACTTTGCAAAAACTTTGAAGTCGGACACTAAAGGCGAATCGATAGTCCTGAGTGATTTTTTTTTACAGAAAAATCTATTCCATTTACAAATATAATTTCGGTGGCAGCAGATGGAGCTCCTGCCATGTTCGGGTGATATCGTGGGTTTATAAGCTATCTTAAAAGAATAATACCAGGACTAATTGCAATTCACTGTGTCATCCACCGANTTTACGTTAATTATTGCTATAAAAATTACGGTATCAGACTTTTTGCTCCGTAACAAATTTCGGTAAAAATGGATTTTGCGGTAAAAATTGTTTCACGGATTGTGCTTGTACTTTTTTATCGTAATTTAAAATTTTATCCAGAATTTTTCACAGCGCGAGTGTTAAACACTTAAACTTTTAATTTTAACAGAGTAAAAATTTTAATTTAAATAGTCAAACGAGCTAAGGGGTGAACATACATTTCATTTACATAAACGAAATATCAAACGAAATATAATCTGCGAAGCTCGTAATCGAAACAAGCATCCGACCTTGTTTTAAAATTAAAAAAGCAGAATATATGAAAGATTTTCAATCACAAATATCTAATGTAAGTCAATTTTTTGTCACCTTTTTGTTCCTTTACCAGCACTGATACTTGACTTCAATAAAATTTGTGGTGTGTTTTGGCAATGATGACTTATAAACGAAATCTTTTATAAGTCTTCTTAAAAAGAAATTGCGTATCACTCAACAAGATTAAAAACAAAAAGCACTCGACAATGTAAAAAATGTAAAACATGTGGGATGAACATGATGACAGGATTAAAACACGAGGATACATGATTAATACACGAAGATTACATGATTAATACATAAGATACATGATAAAACATAAAGATAGTGACATTGTTGTTGTTCTCGTAGGCCAATAAGGCAAGGGGTGTGATTGTTCTTGTTTTACAGTGGCGCCATTTATGGCCAAGAATTCGACTTCTGTCACACCCGTTTATAGGGCGGACCCATTCATTCATCCACAGGTAGTAATTTTAACCTAAACCAGAGAATGATCAGTCCCCAATTCACTACCCCAGAAGTATAATTTGTTATGGGAGCATGGAGGACTTTGTGACCCGACAGATTTAACGTGCATTAGTCACCATTTACTACAGGGAGTCTATCGACTGGCTGGATTCAATCTCCCGTTCTCACGAACGAGAGTCCAGCGCCCTGCCAACCACGCCATCCCGGCCAATACATGAAGATAGTGACACAGGAATAATGCATGAAAATAGTAACGTATAATGCATACATGAAGATAGTGATATATGATTAATACATGAAGATAGTGATATAATATTAATACATGAAGATAGCGCTGCATGATTAATAGTGATAGCGGGAAGATAGTGATAGCGTCATGTATGGACCAAATCCCGTCAATACCACATTGAATGCTGAATCGGTTAATAAAATTTTGATTTATTACAAAAAAATATCAGCCCTATTCTTTTGAAGACTCCGTAATTTATTTCTGTCTGAATATCAAAATAATTTCTAAACAAATTTTCTAGTTTAAATTTGAAACGATCTGAAAATGTAAAAATAAAATAATTACTTTACATTTTTTAATAATACTACTTTTTTATTTACTTTTATTTTCAGCCGTCCCGTGAAATTGAAAGATTTTGCCGATCATTACAGAATTATGTCTGCTGATTCAGATTTCCGCTTTTCTGAAGAGTTCGAACTTCTAAAGAACATTGGTCGTGATAAACCATGCAACGCAGCAGATCTCCCAGTAAATCGTCCGAAGAATCGATTCACAAACATATTACCTTACGATCACTCTAGAATAAAATTGATGCCAACGGATGATGAAGAAGGAACAGATTACATTAACGCCAACTACATTCCAGTAAGTTTTGATTGTTTCTCTTATGTATAGAAAATAGAAAATCTTTTTATGGGAAAAAGTAAAGGTCTTCATCGGGACACATCCTTTACTATAAATAAATGCGATATTTCCAAATAAAGAATAATTATCCTAAGATAAAAATTATTCTTTTGAAAAAATCAGTTTAAAAACATCAATGAATGTGAGAAATTTTGTTTTAATTTGAATTGAAATATCATTTTATATTTGAAAGACTTTGGGGAAATTTATATAAAAATGATCCAACGGTGAAGTTTTTACACCAACTTTTTCTTAGGATTATTTTGCGACAAATACTTTACAAGAATCAGAAATTTCCCTTCATTGAAGGTCGCAATAAAATTTCAGTCGTTCTATCCTGCAGTACAACTGAACTTAATAGAGCTTTACACGAATTTTGATTTATGGATATATAATCATAATATGTCTGAATCATCACAGTTGTGTCTAAATATATAATGATGATATTTTGAACATATAGATAGTGACAAGCCACAGCTTTTGCAAAGGTGACATTTTTACGTTTGAGTATTTTCCAGGGTTGTTTCCAGATAATTCAAAAGTTTCTCTAATTACAACGAGATAACAATATGTGAATAAGAATTTCTCTGCCTATATAGAAATCGCAGTGTTTTTTTTTTTTTTTTTTTTTTNTTTTCATTTTTTTTTTTTTTTTTGAAGAACTAAAAACAGTCCTTTGAACTATTTTAAAATGAGGCTTATCATTCTATTGCTCCAAGCGTTTCAAATGCAGATTGTTAATTTTGGCTCGATAAATTATAGTTTTATAACTTACATGTGGCTGTAAGATTCGCAAGTTTCGACTATGTGGTTTTAATAGAAACCTAACTAATTAAAAGTAACATAAAAAAGCAAAAATAAAAAGGAGATAGAAACAGAAAAAAAGTCTTTCAAAAAAATTAATTTGAATATGCTTTTAAAGTTAAAAAACACACACACACATATTAAATTTTTAACAATCAGTTTGAAATTCATTAAACTTTTCTGCGAGAATCCTAACTATTCAAAATGAATTACAAACAAATGTAAAAAAAAATCCTACAGAAAATCTTGAAAATATGCCTTATATTTTTTTCTTTTCTTTACAACAATTTAACATAAAAAAATATAATAATTAGTATTTACATTTTTTTTTAACAATAATAGCTTTATTTGTATCAAAAATACATCCAGTCTATAAGCAATATAACCCTATATCTATATACTAAACCGTAATTATCTCTTATTAAGTTTGAGAAATGTGGCAATCAGAATACCGAAAAGACATTCCAGAAAAATCTATGACACTTCATGACTTAACCTATGCAATGTGAAGAGATCCAAATCANTCTTAATCATTTAATCTTATAATTATTTACCTTAAAATACTTTTAAACAAAACTAAATAACGATTACAGTATAATAATAATATCGATAATATATAAGTACATGCAATGCGTTAAAGATAAAAAAAAACACATTATACTTTTGATCTATTGATGAGGTTTTCATAACATATTTTATATTATTGTTCAACGTGTTATATTATGGTTTAACACGCAATCATAATGATTCGGGGATCTAAAGGTTGAAACTCTAAGCCTTTTAATAATCATTTTAGTTTTTGCTTATTTTATCTCACCTCTGAAACTATTTAATTTTTTTCCAAATTAAAATTAAGAAATTTAAAATTTGTGCGAAATCAGTCAAATCGCACTAATACAATAATTTAATATAATAATTTAATGTAATAATGAATGAATATTGATGATAATATAATAATGAATAATTCAATAATACGAATTTTTTTGCAATAATATTTCTCATTGCTCAGTTAAAACACTTCTTCTTAATTCAATGTTTGTACCGTTATTTACAGAATAAATTCCCATGCTACCTATATTACAAAAGAGATTCAATGTTTGTACCATTATTTACAGAATAAAGTCCCATGTGACTTATATTAAAAAAGAGATTCAATGTTTGTGCGTTGCTTACAGAATAAATTCCCTTGTGACTTATGTTAAAAAAGAGATTCAGTGTTTGTACATTGCTTACAGAATAAATTCCCATGCGACTTACATTACAAAAGAGATTCAATGTTTGTGCGTTGCTTACAGAATAAATTCCTTTGTGACTTATATTACAAAAGATATTCGGTGTTTGTATGTTGCTTACAGAATAAGTTCCCTTGTGGCTTATGTTAAAAAAGAGATTCAGTGTTTGAACGTTGCTTACAGGATAATTTCCATTGGGACTTATATTACAAAAGAGATTCAATGTTTGTGCGTTGCTTAAAGAATAAATTCCCTTGTGACTTACATCAAAAAAGAGATTCGGTATTTGTACTCGTACGTTGCTTAAAGAATAAATTCCCTTGTGACTTATATTACGAAAGAGATTCAGTGTTTGTTCGTTGCTTACAGGATAAATTCCCAAGTGACTTATATTAAAAAAGCATACAAATTGAATCCTATAATAAAATTCCTAAGATTGTAAAATAAAGAAAAATTAACGTATGGTTTACTTTTCTAGTGGTTTTACGTTTCAGTTACAACATTTCGAAAAGTTAGTCATTTGTTTTATTGTTCATACGAATACTCTGTCGAATACACTAAAGAAGTAGTAGTGAGAATTAAAGATAATGACTAAAATGTAGTAAAATAAGGGATTGAATTCAATTAAGGATTGAGTCTCCTACTTTATATCTAAACTATTAAAACTACGTGAACTTTAACATGAAGTAGCCTTGCTTAAATTAAAACCATCACTATCATGTAAGATCATCTCTTTATCTTCTAAACAATATATTTTTCGAAACATTTCATACGAATCAAAGCCGTAATGTAAAAAGTTGTTTCTTATGAGTTAGTATGATTTTAATCTATGCTATTAAAGTTACTTAAAACTTTAACGTAAAGCTATATTTAACTTGATACCTCCCTCATCATATAACAAGCAGCACCATCTCATTGCTTTGAAAACATTCGAAACACATAACTAAAATTGCATTGGGAAAAGGTATCACACATGTTTGACCAATTGCAATCCATACCATTAAAGCTGCAAAAAAACTTTGACATAAATAGTTTTCCTTAATTTGATACCTTCATCATGTGAGATGCATCATGTAAGAAACTACTTAAAACTTTAACGTAAAATAGCTTTACTTAATTTGATACCTTCATCATCATGTAAGATACATCACGAAGAAGCTATAAAAAGCCTTAACGTTAAGTGGTATCAAGTTAAGTAGCTTTACTTAACTTGATACCTTCATCATGTAACATGCATTCCCATCTCATTGTTATGCAACACCATCTCATTGTCAACATTTGAAGCACTTAACTGAAATCGTATTGGTATAAGCTATCACATACGTGTTAGGCTAATTGCAATCTACACCATTAAAGCTGCAAGACACCTTTACGTAAACAGCTTTACTTAACTTGATACCTTCATCCTCATATAACATGCAGCACCATCTCTTTGTTGTGTAAACATTCGAAGCACTTAACTGAAATTGTATTTATGAAAAGTTATAGCATACATTTTTGACCAACTGTAATCTACACTATTAAAGCTACATAAAACTATATTGTAAAGTTACCTTACCTAACTGAATTTTAAAAGCTGCAAAGCTGCATGAAACTTTTTAAATTTTTTCTTCAAAATCTGGCTTTTTTATTTTTACAGGGTTACAACTCCCCTAGAGAATTCATCGTGACTCAAGGACCCCTACACAGCACTCGTGACGACCTCTGGAGAATGATATGGGAGCAAAATTGCAGAGCTATTGTTATGCTTACTCGTTGCATAGAAAAGGGCAGAGAAAAGTGTGATCATTACTGGCCGTTTGATATGCAGCCTGTATATTACGGAGATATCCAAGTCATTCTCCTTAATGAGTCACAATATAGTCACTGGACCATATCTGAGTTCAAAGTTTCCAGGGTAAGAATCGTAACCATTTCTAGATTTTGAAAAAAAGCATTTGTGTACTGTTCGGCGTTTTTCTCTGCATAAATTCGGTGTGATTAGTAGTGGTTTGTGAGTACCATGGACTAATATAGAGGATATCTATGGTGAGTACAAAAGTACACTGCGAGTACAGTGTGGTCAATGATAAAACCTTTTTTAACATAGAGAATGGTTAAAAGATAGTTCAAAACCGCCCAGAGGATGAGGATGAACCGGACAGGGAAATAAGGATTGACTGATTTATGTCCACTTGTAATGTAGGAAGCACTGATTTTCAAGTTTATTGTGTAGCATTTTATGGGTCGTTTAAATTCACACGTGAATCGGAACCTTTTGGCATTTGTTCTCGACCTAGGGTTGAGCACATGAAATTTTTCCCTGATTATTAATATTAGTTTTCATTTCTAAATACAAATTAGTTTAGTGATTTCACGCTTTACATGACCGTCCATTGAGGCAACGAAAAAGAAGATATGAATTCGCAGTTTATGGCGACTTCGAATCTAAGTAGCCTTATATATCTACTTGTTTTCGTGGTGATTTTAATGGTATATCATAATACATCACGTTAGAATAAAATTCTTTGCTTTCAGCCTTTTCAGTTATGCAAGGAACTGTTCAATTAAACCTACTGATTCGATCAATGCAATGATGTTATCCACCACATAATTTGTTAACTACAAATCGTTTGTGCTATTAGATTTTTTACTTAATTTTCCAACGTGACCTAGCACGTAACAGGGGAAGGTCACTGAAGGATAAGATTCCAGAAGATCCTCCAGCTAATGGAGATTTGAAAGTACAAAGCTAGTTTCTGCAGTTTGTTTGTGATCAATAATTTTTTTTGGTTGATTTTGGCTCTTTTAGATTTTTTTCCATTCTACCACGTGATCTAGCTATGTGACAGTTTTTAGAAACCCGAAAGATAAGATCCCAGAAGATTCTCCTACTCGTCACGATTTGAATGTAGAGAGCTAGTTTCCACAGTCTGTGATCGAAAACAAATTTTTGGTTGCCACCTTTTTAGATTTTTTCCTTTTGTCACCTGACTGAAAGAGGTCCCCGAAAGATAAGATCTCCGATTTGAATTTAGAAACTAGTTTCTGCAATTTGTTTGTGGTGACCTAGCACGTGACAGGGGTGATCCCAGAAGGATTCTCCTGCTCGTAGTGATTTGAATATATAAAGCTAGTTTCTGCAATTAATTTATAAACAAAAACAGCTGCGAGATAACGCACAGGATCGCGTGGCAGTAAGTGTTTTCGCGCAGCATGAAAGATGGGGGGAAACTACTTATAGGAAGAGCAGAGAAGGAGATAAGAGTTGCTAGCTGGATTTATTAAGAATTAGAATGCAAGAAGGCAACTTTCATTCTTTCAATTTGTTTTTGGAGGGGTATATTAGATCATGAACTGCCACCAGAAACAGAGCACAGGTCAAGTAATGTGCAATCCGATAGAAATACCACAAGAACAAATATAAAGATAAGGCTTAGTACTCACAAACTCCTCAGCTTATCTATTTAAACTTATCAATCTCTACAGAAATGTCATTTTAGCTCATTTTCTTTTTTTCCCACTATGTTAAAATCGGAGGCCGGTAGTTACCTACAAGATCCATTCCTACCCACAAACCATAACTAACCATACATTATGCTGCTGCTCTATAAAAACAGATCCCGTTTCCTACCTGATCTCTGGATCATANCCTAAAAAAGTAACGAAAGTACAAGTAAAAGTACTAAATTTAAAAAGTAACGAAGTACAAGTAAAAGTACGTACTTTTTACTTGTACCGGCGGTACAAGTAACGAAAGTAAAAGTACTGCCATATATGCTAACCATACATTATGCTGCTGCTCTATAAAAACAGATCACGTTTCCTATCTGATCTCTGGATCATATTATCCCTTGATTTTTTTATTTTCGGTCTTCATGCTTGTCTTTTTTATATAATTATCAGAAAGGCAAAGAAAAGTCTTGTACCATAGCTCGATATAGTGGCGACATTGTTGAATATATTTAAATAGAACTGTTTTATCGAATTGAAATATACCACATTAAAGTTTACACACGATAAAGATATAACTTCAACTCTATGGAAATACACTAAATCAAAGATATTTAGTGATTTGTTTTTAAATTTGAAGGAAAATGTCTTTTGAAATATGTATAGTCAAGAAACAATATGCAATTCTTACTATTACAGGAATAAAATAATTTTTACTCTTTTATTTATGCTATTTATCTACCTTATTCTACGTGTAATTTTTGATGCGTGATTAACATGATTTCTAAATTAATTACCTCTTTATTCATTTTAGAATGAGCAGTCTCGCATACTTAAGCACTTCCATTTCACAACGTGGCCTGACTTCGGAGTGCCTGAGCCTGCTCAAGTGCTGGTGAAATTTGTGAGGACATTCCGTGAGCGAATCGGCTACGATCCAAAACCCATCGTCGTACACTGCAGGTAAGTTGTGGGGAATACTTGTGTCGAATCTATCGATTATTATGCTGAAATCAATCTAATCTTCAACCAATTCAGCTGAAATCCGACATTTTAAATGAGAAAGATTTAAAAAAAAACTATTTTGAAAATAAGTCATTTTTTTCCGTTCGCTAATAATTCTTGAAAAGTTTATTCTCAGAAAGAAGACTTCATTTATTTTACATATATTAAGTTTCAGTGAAATTCGTTGAAAATGTCGCATTATGTCGTACAAGTCCTTTATAATATACTAGGTAATTTAGAATAGTCAAGGAAATTCACCGCCATTTAAAGCTTTTTATGGACTAAAACGATTTTTTAAATCTTCATTACTATCAAGAAATACTACATTCTTACTAAATAAAATATTAATTAGATTAATACTTACCTGCGGCTCAGAGACCTGACCAAAACTGGAGAAAATAAAATAGCCATTTTTGAGAGAAGAATTTTGAGAGCCATTGTTGGTGGGATAGAAATTAACAATGCTTGGAGCAGAAGATGTAACTTATATAAAATCTATAGAGAGTCAGACATCGTGAAATTCATAAAAATAAACCGGATGAACTAGGCAGCTCATATATTTAGAGTGTGGGTAATAATTCCACAAAAAGGAAATCTTTTTTATAAACTTCTAACAATCAAGAAAGGGGCCCAGATTGGGATGGATGGAGTTAGTGGAAACTGACTTCCTTGTATCCAGGATGCCCAAGTGTCAGAAATTGAAGGCAGTGAAGCAGAATCCGGATGAAGGCATTGGCTCACTCTGGGCTGTCTAGCCCAATATAATGATTTACTTAGAGTTATTGTTTTGTATATAAAATTGCTATAAGTGATAAAATTCATCGGGGAAAAAAATTAATCATCCCTGCAGAAATCATGAAAAGAAAAATAATTTAATATCGGGTAATTCCTCAGCTTCAAGACTCTGTTTGGAATTAAGTACAAAAGTTTTGTCGATACATTGATTCCAGTTTATGTCACAATCTGATCTCGCAAATCCATCAAATTACGAAGATGCTCAGTTTCTATGGGGTTGAAGGCAGGTAATTTTGCAGGCCAGTCGAGTCGAGGTGTTGGAAAACCAAACTCATATTTTTACAAGACAGTAAACTTTGCTGCTGTCATCTTGGTAAATCGGGACTCATCCTAAAGAACTGAAAGACAAGACCTCATCTTCCAGAATGTTAAAATGAGGAAGCTGATTCATGTTTTTATGACCATTCTCAATCCATAATAAGAAAAACATACAATTTTATAATAAGTATTTTCTCATTTTTATTAAAAAAAGAAATTTCTGAACTTTTGTTTCCAAGATGACAATAGAGTAAAAAACCTATGATCACTTTTTTATGTGGTTGCCGTTAATTAACCTTTTAAGAAAATTCATTGAATCCTGATAATGAATAATTGTTTAGTTATTTCATGGACGGGAATGTTGAAAGATATCAAGTTTTCGTGAGGTTTGTCATATTCGAAGGGATGTGACTCTTAGAAACTGCGTATAACTTTTGTTCTGCAGCATATTTAGTGTTATACCAATATTTCTTCAATTATTTTTATTGTTTACCATACAATAGTTTTAAAAAATATGGTGTAAATCATACTGCTTAACAATATTAAAATATTTGTGAAAGTTTTTTCGTAGTTCATGTAAAGTTTGATTTTAAAAAATATTGTCACTTCCTACTTTATGTTTTTCCATAAATTAACCTATCCTTATTCATGCTGCTTAACTCTTTGTCAAAAATGAGACACCGGTGTTCCTTTAATAAGTTTTTTTTTCTGATGCTCTAATTACAAGCAAAAATATATTTTGGTATTTTTTAATGATAAAAATCAGTCTAACTGTCATAAAAAATATGATAGATTATCGGAATTAGATTTGTACTAAAATATAAAAACTAAATAAAGTAGTNGTCGTACACTGCAGGTAAGTTGTGAGGAATACTTGTGTCGAATCTATCGATTATTATGCTGAAATCGATCTAATCTTCAACCAACTCAGCGCAAATCCGACATTTTAAATGAGAAAGATTTAAAAAAAAACTATTTTGAAAATAAGTCATTTTTTTCCGTTCGCTAATAATTTTTGAAAAGTTAAATTTCAGAAAGAAAATTTCATTTCTTTTACAAAAATTAAGTTTCAGTTAAATTTGGTGCATTATGTCGTACAAGTCCCTTATAAAATGCTAGGTAATTTAGAGTAGTCAAGGAAATTCAGAGCCATTTAATGCATGCAAATAAAGCTTTTTATGGACTAAAACGATTTTTTAAATCTTCATTACTATCAAGAAATACTACATTTTTACTAAATAAAATATTAATTAGATTAATACTTAATGATAATGTAAATAAGTGCACATTTGAAAAATTATTGTTTGAAAGTGAGCCGTATTTTACCTTTTAAGAAAAAGACACCGGTACTTTATACTGTATTTCATAACCATAAATTATGAAAATACTAAATATAGTATTTTCTTCTTCTTTTGTCCTAAATTATTACAAAATAATGAAAAATTATGAAAAATATGCTGAATTAAAATTCTGCGTCAAAGCAATAAAGCAAATAATTAAATATAAATAGTGAATATCATTATTAAATTCTTTTTTACTGTGAAGTACACTGTTGTAAGAAATTAAGAAAATTCGCAGACTTGGGCGATTATCTCTAGAACTACTGGGCCCGTTTTAATGAAATTTGATATGTATATACATTGATACAATACAAAACAAATAACCATTCAACAATTGTAATACACGCGAATAATCATGCGTAACACTTGTTGGAATCGGAAAGTATGAAACAGCGGTAACAGAATAAACAAAAAATAGGTTAATAGGCGGTATAATCCTATGATTAGTTAGTATAGTATTTAGTATAGTGCAGTATAGTATAGTATATAGTATTTAGTATAGTATAGTACAGTATTTAGTATAGTATAGTACAGTATTTAGTATAGTATAGTCTAGTCTAGTATAGTATAGTATACTATAGTATTTTGTATAGTATAGCATAGTATAGTATAGTATTTAGTATTGTATAGTATTTAGTATCGTATAGTATTTAGTATAGTATAGTATAGTATAGTATAGTATAGTATAGTATAGTATAGTACAGTATAGTACAGTAAATTGTCTTGTGGCAGTTTCATACAATCCGGCTCCAACGAGTGTCCCGCATGATCATGTGTGTGTATTACAATTGTTGAAGTAGTTCTAGAGATAATCGTCCAAGTCTGAAAATTCTCTTAATTCCTTACACCAGTCTATATAAAACGACATATTGCTACGTTAGGTATTTATGGTTAATGGTTATTAAATATGTGCAGATAGTAGTTTCGTGTTATTTTCATACCTAAATAATTTACTGAGAAATTTTCTTTCTAATATAGTGCTGGTGTAGGACGATCCGGTACCTTCATAGCATTAGACAGGGTGTTACAGCACATTCAGAAACATGACTATGTAGATATTTTTGGTATTGTTTCTGAAATGCGCAAAGAAAGAGTATGGATGGTACAAAATGAGGTAAGTTTTCTTGATTAACTGGTACACCATCTTATCAATCATGATCTTATCCATCTTATCAATATTCAGATGTTTTTATTGAAGCAACACGGAGGGAAAAAAAATCTGTAAAATTACGGTACTGTATGGTAAAGACAATTTTAGCAGTAAAAACCATAAATCTGAAAATAAATAAAAAATAAGCGATATTTAAACTATTTATATGACTACGTTTTTCGCTCATCTGGTATCGGTTTATCGGAAGTTCAAGTTTTCAAATTTGTAGTTCTAATCACATATTTAATGAATTTAATGGTTTTAATGCCGTGCTTTAAGTCGTTATGATACAATTACCAAATTTTATCATATTTACAAAATTTTATCTCATATTATAAGAATCATCATTACAGATATCTTTTTAGTTTTATTGAACTCACTAATACCGTTATATAACAGAAAATTTCCATAGGGCCATAGGGAATATTCAAGGTAGTTAGCACTACACTCTTAGAATTTTCTCGTGGAAAATGGTTAAATAATAATTTATTTAAATGTAATTTTACCATATCCAACCAAAACACTCAAATAACCATAAAAAGGATGGTATTCAAACTGTTAGGTGTAAGAAAAAGCGTCTATTGACTGCTTTCACCAAATTCGATTAAACAATCAATCCAAACCAACTAGTCCCTCAACAAATGAGAATCCAGCACACGTTCTTTGAAAGCTAAAAACTAAGCCACGTAAAAAATATTACGAATTCCTATGTTTACTTTCCATCATCGGATTCCAATAATTAGTGTGTGGTGGACAGCTTAGGAAGCCACGTAGTTCCTTCAATTGGGTACATAGAGTCGTATGAGCTAGTCTGTCTGACCGGCTGAACGGAGGCTCAAATCCTAGCGTTGAACCACAATATTTCCTCTATTTCTTCAACACACAAGGAGTTTCCAGTGTTCTGCACTCTTCAGCTGGTAGCCCACTACTTTTAGAATTCGAAACTATCAATTATGCATAGATGATATGACCACAGAGCTCATAAACCTAAAAAGTCTTGTATTTCCCATAGATGGCCCCACTAATTCATGTCGTGGTTCATCACACAACTCAACCACAACTTAACTTTGATATCAATTACCTAACGAAAAAACAGCCAAAGTTCAGTTAAATTTCATTTTTATGGTTTTGAAATCTTGCTAATTCTAAATGGTTACGAAATCGGATAGTTTTGTATTCACATTTTTTAACAATACCAATTGAAAACGGTTTCAAACCCGTGAAGGAAAAAAAATGTTTTTAAAAGTAAACTTTACATTTAATCAGATGGACAGACTGCTGGCGGTGATTTTACCATAATTTTACCCAAACTGGTTCATCCCTCAAACTCTCTCGCGTTGCCCTGGGGGAAATTTCTTCCAACTAACCATGGTATTGAGAATTCAAATGGAGAATTCAAACTGAGAAAAATGGTAGACTTATAAATAAATCTGCATGTGTGTAATGAAGATAAATGGCAAAACCATCAGTACCATCTCGGCGCGTTTAAATAACAACTGCAGTATTTATCTGGCTGAGCTCCTTGCGATACAGACAGCGCTCCAATGGTTTAAAAACCAGGGTTCTCCAATGGCAAGCATTTACACAGATTCCCTTTCTTCACTTATGAGCCTGGAGGACCCACGAAAACACCTCAAACTTATAGAAGACACCAAAGCCATGTGGAGTAGCAACTATAATATAAATTGGATTAAAGCACACTCAGGCATTGAAGGGAATGAAGAGGCCGACTGGGTTGCTAAGGAAGCCACTAAGCTTGGCCAGATTGATTTTGAGATCCCGGGTGAAAAATGCGAAATTAAATCTTACATTAAGAACATTACTTTTAACCGCTGGAGAAATGACTGGAGGTCTAGTGACAAGGGAAGACAAACCTATAATTTTTTTAAAGATCCAAGCATAAAGCGCCTGCTGGCCAATTTTTATTTAAACCAGTTCCTTACTGGCCACGGAGTGTTCGGGACCTATCAACAAAAATATTTCAAAAAATCAGCTTCATGGAATTACTGTGGAGTGAGACAGGACATTGATCATCTACTTAAGCACTGTCCAAGATTCCGGGCACTTCGTGGAACCCACATGAATAATTGCGAAGAGGAACATCAATTCTTCGCTATATTGACCTGCAGGAAAATTGTGACTCAAATTATTAAACAAACCCTCGAGGACATTCTAGCCCCAGATCAACTGACCCCAGTCATGAACCAACAATAGAGCATGTCATCGTTAATTTTTACTAATCAACTTTTAGCTTTACATTTTGAATTTTTATCTACTTTTGATTTTAGACTTCAAGTCAGACTTTTACTTTTAGACATTTACTATTTGGACTTTTAGCTTTCATTGATTTTAGTTTTGAGATTTTTTATCTCTTGTTTCCTTATTATTATAATCATTTAATTCTCGACATTTACACCGGCGCTATTGGGTTTCCTTGCCTTTAACACATGTTTTTAATTGTCAAGCGTTATTGTTAATCCACTTTTAACTGATCACCANCACATTTTTTAACAATACCAATTGAAAACGGTTTCAAACCCATGAAGGAAAAAAAATGTTTTTAACCGAAAACTTTACATTTAATCAGATGGACAGACTGCTGGCGGTTATTTTACCATAATTTTAGAATGGAAATTTTAACAGAGTATGAAGAACCCAACAATATTTGCAACTATATATTTCCTCTAGAATTTATTTTTTGTCTTTACCTACAAAAAACAAGATGGGCGATTTGCTTTTATCAAATTGCTTCTTAGTCAATATAATGATGAAAATACCCATTTCATCAATTAAGATACTCTAATTATGTGTCTAACGCCATATTGAAATATTTGCGTAATGAATCAAGTAATTTGTAGTTAGTTCACTTCAATTTATTCATTAGTGATATTCTTTGCTAAAACTGATGTAGAAAGCTGAGCATTGTAAGGAAATTATTAATTGAAGCTTGGTCTTTAATTATACAAATAGTATTCAGTATGTTTATTTAATGTACATATACCTGTTTTTCATACATAATTTAAAGATTTTTACTTAGAACTTTTTGTTCTCAGTAAGTTATAAGTTCGAGTCACTAATTATTAATTTGGGAATCAAGCATTAATTAGAGAAATTCAGTTGTAAATACCAATTACTATTGAAGTTACAACATAAGTGATATAATAAAAAGCAAATTATATTTGAAAAAGGATGCCGAACATTCTGAGTAATCATCGTTTTATTTATCAGATTTTCTTATAAAAATAGTAAGCTTTAGCTTAAGACTTAATGTGCATTTAATTATAATTTTTGTGGCATTAATTGATTAAGTTGAAAACTGAAAAAAAAGGCACATTTTTTCTGAATGCTTGCTTCATATGCAAAGATTTAAAAATTGAGAGAAAAATAAATTAGAATTTCAAATTAGAAAAGTAAAAAAAGAAGTACAAAAAAATATTAACAGTGAAATGAAATATGTATTCTTGCATTGTTTAAATGTTGTAATAATCTATGGTGTTCTCGATTATCTCAAATTGACTGCAAAGTTTTTATTTTTTTTTCCAACTGGCATAACGATTTTATCTTTTTCTTTTTAGCAACAATACATATGTGTTCATCAATGTTTACAATGTGTTCTAGAAAAGAAAGAAGAATTTTTAGAGCTTGGTAGGCCCGAAGAGCGCGATAATCAAGGGTACGATGGTAAGTTTCAATAATTATTTGTTATTGCATTTCCAGCATTTTATGACAGTGGAAATTGTACTGATGGCTTAGTGAAATTAGTATTTCTAATCGGAGCAATGTATAATCATTGTATTGCTAAGACTCGAATACTTTTCTAAATTCTTCCACTAAACGTCAAGACTGTTTTTTCTAAAATCCCTGAATTCTTTTTGCTGAAAGTCTTAACCTTTCACTGTCTGCATATCTACAAAGCAAAGTTCAAATTGGATTTTCGTCGCTGTCCTCCATAATTTAGCATTGAAAACTGATTTGCACATCTACAGAAGAATCTGCAACAAGAATTGACCGCCATTCTGTGTTAGTTTAAACGTTGAAGGACATGCTGTTTCGCCGCGTGTAGCTTTTTTTACTTTAGTTAGAGGCTTACTACCATTTCGGTAAGAGACATAATTGCTGTTCTGAACGAAATTGTTTATCATAGCAATTTGAAGCTTTAGGTATTTCATTTCTTATACTTCGGGTTTTTAATTGATTTTTGATGATTTAGTGCTCATTGTCGAAAAGATTCTATTGTTTACATTAACATTGGGAATCATTTAATTCTTAGGGAGATTTCGCACTTTTACGTTAGCTTACGTACGTTCCGCACGTAAGATTTAAATCAACTACGCATGCGTGCTCGTGTTTATTTTAGATGCTACGTATCTTTACGTTATGCTGGCGTAATTAACGCTATAAAGACAGAGCTACAAGCATGTGGTTTACATCTGTTAAATGTTGTTTTGTGTTAAAGCCAAACTTAAAACTTAGAACATGGACATAGAATGCGAATTTCAAGAAATATATTGATGAAATTTAGAAATGAATTATGCGACATTACAACAATTGGTTGAGCGAAAAGATCGTCTACGCCCATTGTAAATGGTTCTTGTGATTTTGTTGTCGAAGTTAAAACGATATTTTACTACGTTAGCGTTTTTAACTTACCAATTTTTGCGAATTCTCTTATTTCTGCATACGTAAGTTTGATATTTTTTTTTTCACGGGCTCATGTGCATTTCACCAGAATTGACGCATGCGCAATAAGAGTGCTCATACGCATTTACTTAAAATCGTACGGGAGAATTCGGAAGATAACTTAAATTTGCAAAATCTGCCTAATAATATTGTACACACAGATTTGCAAAGTGCAAAAAAAAAAAAATGTCTGCATTTTTTTCCATCTTGTATTTTTCTTGAGCAATTCTGCATATGACAATAATTATTATTATTCACTTTTAAAAAGTGTGCAGTCAAGGGTTCAGCAACTGCAATTTAAAAATGTTCCCTACCTAAGATTGTTAGCAGGCGAGTCCATTTCATTGTGTAATATAATACTATGCCCAAATCTAATATTTTTGAAATTCACTAAAAATATTCCATATTACGAAAGCAAAGTTTAAAAAAATATATCCTTTTATGTAGGAGAAAAAAAACGATATTTATTGATTTGTTTTAATAAATTACACGTCAATTATTTACGTGTATCGATATTAAACTACTTTGATGTAGTTTTATCAGGAGCTGTAATTTCTTTTTTGTATTTTTTCCTAAAATAATTATTAGCTTAGATTATACCGGTTGGGATTTTAAAAGCATTTTCAAACAATTAAATTCGTATTTTCAGTAACATTTTCGAAAGATTTTAATTCCAAGTACGCTATTTGAATCATTTGATATTGAATACCTTATTTTTTGCGAATAGGTGCATACACCAAATACTGCAATACAGATGTTATTTTTGTTACACTATAAAATTTTAATCCTTTGATTGTTTCTCATTTAATTTCAGAAACATAAAATCTGGTAAATCTTCTTTTTAAAAAAAATCTTTCATAAAATATTTTCATATAAAATCTTCTTTTTAAGAAATCTTTTCATAAAATCTTCTTTTTAAAAAATCTTTTCATATAAAATCTTCTTTTTAAAAAATCTTTTCATAAAATCTTCTTTTTAAAATATCTTTTCCTATAAAATCTTCTTTGTAAAAAATCTTTTCATAAAATCTCCTTTTTTAAAAATGTAATTTTGCAAAAGTTAAATATTTGAAACAATGAATGTACACAATTCTTTAATGCAAAAATTAGTCAAATAATTTACTGTATATTTATTGTTTTCCAAGATTTAAAATTACTAAGAAAAATTTAGGAAGGTTAGGTTTTGTAAATATAAATCAGAAACACAATTGAGTTTTGTCGACTAAATAAAAGTCGACTAAAATATTTGAAGTAAATTAAAATGAAGAGCTATTTAAAAATTCATAGAGCTCGACTGTGAATGAAACAAAACTGAATTATTTCTTTTCTTATCTATTTTGCTTCAAATAAAAGGATCGCTTCCATCTTCTTTCAAACATTCCATAGCTCTGCCCAATGGAAATGCAGTGAAAAAAGACTGAGATATTTTGTAGNACTTAAATTTGCAAAATCTGCCTAATCATATTGTACACAAAGATTTGCAAAGTGCAAAAAAAAAAAAAATGTCTGCACTTTTTTTCTATCTTGTATTTTTCTTGAGCAATTCTGCATATGACAATAATTATTATTATTCACTTTTAAAAAGTGTGCAGTCAAGGGTTCAGCAACTGCAATTTAAAAATGTTCCCTACCTAAGATTGTTAGCAGGCGAGTCCATTGCATTGTGTAATATAATACTATGCCCAAATCTAATATTTTGGAAATTCACTAAAAATATTCCATATTACTTAAGCAAAATTAAAAAAATATATCCCTTTATATAGGAGGAAAAAGACGATATTAACTGATTTGTTTTAATAAATTACTCGTCAATTATTTACGTGTATCGATATTTAACTATTTTGATGTAGTTTTCTCAGGAGCCGTAATTTCTTTTTTGTATTTTTTCCTAAAATAATTATTAGCTTAGATTATACCGGTTGGGATTTTAAAAGCATTTTCAAACAATTAAATTCGTATTTTCAGTAACATTTTCGAAAGATTTTAATTCCAAGTACGCAATTTGAATCAATTGATATTGAATACCTTATTTCTTGCGAATAGGTGCATACATCAAATACTGCAATACATATGTTATTTTTGTTACACTATAAAATTTTAATCCTTAGATTGTTTCTCATTTAATTTCAGAAACATAAAATCTGGTAAATCTTCTTTTTTAAAAAAAAATCTTTCATGAAATCTTTTTAAAAAATATTTTCATATAAAATCTTCTTTTTAAGAAATTTTTTCATAAAATCTTCTTTTTAAAAAATCTTTTCATATAAAATCTCCTTTTTAAAAAATATTTTCATAAAATCTTCTTTTTAAAATATCATTTCCTATAAAATCTTCTTTGTAAAAAATCTTTTCATAAAATCTTCTTTTTTAAAAATGTAATTTTGCAAAAGTTAAATATTTAAAACAATGAATGTACACAATTCTTTAATACAAAAATTAGTCAAATAATTTACTGTATATTTATTGTTTTCCAAGATTTAAAATTACTAAGAAAAATTTAGGAAGGTTAGGTTTCGTAAATATAAATCAGAAAAACAATTGAGTTTTGATATATATTTTTAAAAAAGTCAACTAAAATATTTGAAGTAAATTAAAATGAAGAGCTATTTAAAAATTAATAGAGCTCGACTGTGAATGAAACAAAACTGAATTATTTCTTTTCTTATCTATTTTGCTTCAAATAAAAAGATCGCTTCCATCTTCTTTCAAACATTCCATAGCTCTGCCCAATGGAAATGCAGTGAAAAAAGACTGAGAAATTTTGTAGTTGGAAGGTATCTTTGTAATGTAGAGACTGCCATACAAATTATTTGTCATCTTCCATACTGGTAAATATTCATGGATTATCCAAAGCATGATGCATCCTAAATGAAAGATTATGTTTTCATGTTTGCCTGCTTTAAGTGGTTGCATGATTTTTAATTTCATTTTTAACCTTTAACGATCTGTTAATTTTCAAGAAAACGATCATAAAAGTGCCTATTTTGCTAAATATGCGTATTTGATTAGTGCTGACATCTAGTTCAAAATAAACTAACTATCTACAAATACCTAGTCCCGCAGTGGACTGATCGTCAAGACACGGTTCTCATAAGATCACCGAAGTCAAGCATCACTGGCTGCGGTCAGTGTGCGGGTGGGTGACCCACTTGGATCAGTCTGCGTAGGGACCGAGGGTGTGCGGTATTGGTCCTCGTTAATCTGTGCTACCGTAAAGTGCTCGACTTCGCGCGCAGGTCGTCGGGCTACCGAAGCGGGGGTGCCATCTCTTCCGCAGAGGATCAAAATTGTGATGGCATGTCTTCGGATCATCCTCCGGGATGTTTCCCAGACCGTCGCCAATAGCCCATTGTGCAGCTCTAGTGCGACGTAAATTAACAACAATAACAACAACAAATACCTAAAAGATATCCTGGTACTGCCATCTGGTGTGTAAAATGAGAAATAAGATGTTTTCCGGGCAAAAAAAAATGAATTAGTTTTATTCTTATTGGCTTGTTACTACTGAAGACTCCAGCCCGGAAATTTCACGGGAGCGAGAAGGAAGGGGTTAATAGCTATGCGGTGAATTCATCTAACAATTATTTTGTTAAATTCTTTTCTTACAACTGTTTTTGTAATACTTTCAAGCAAGATTGACAGTTTTATAACGTAAAAAAATTTTGTCAAATTCATACCATAAGAATTTATTTCCCATTTTGTTACTAACGCTTAAAAGACGAGCTCAGAGTGTTCTAAAATCGCTCTCCTTTAATCGCTGCTTCAAACCACTGTTATTTGTACAATATTTATTATTCACGCCACTTTGTTTAAAACTTGAACCAACTATCTTTACAATGGTACTCTAATCCCTTCTCCTTTCATCGGTGCTTGAAACCACTGCCTTTTGATCGATTTTTATAGTTCACTCTGTTTTGTTTAAAACTTGAACCCACTTTCAGTTAAAGTACTAATTTAGAATCCTTAAAATTATGTGTTTAAAAAAGGTCATAAATTACTTTTTGAACAATGGATTTAAGCACTGTAAAAAAATATTAAATTTACAGAAAAAGTGTCAGCTGGTGTGCCATTATAAAATCGTTTATTTTTCATAAAAATACTGTAATTTAAAAACGGAAACCTGTTTTTTAAGCAGATATTTGCCGTTATTTTTAACAAACAAACTCAGTTATTTGAAAGGGGAAGCCTGTTTTGTAAGCAGATAGGTGCTGTTATTTTAACAAACAAATTCTGTTATTTTATAAGATAGCTATGTCAGCATTATGGTCGGTGAAAGGAGAATTTGCATGGTCAGCCAAAGTCGGGATTCGTACCCGGGTTACCTGTAAATTTGTATTTGTTTTGTAAAAAAATAATTCATTTTGTTTTTGCATGGTTATTTTGATAATTTGTTTTTCTTCATAAATAAAGACAAAACACGGCTTCAAACTGAATGTTGACGCATGTAAAATGTGTTTGTATAATATTTATGCAAAAAACTGCATGCGCATGTTTTTCGAATGAGATTATAAATTACTAATTTTTGTATTTTATGAAATTTTTACTATTTTTTATGTATTTTTCTTGATGTATATTTATTTGCTCTTGCTTGCATTCAAACTATATGTTTTATTAATTACCTTATTGTGTAAGTCTACAAATAAGCTTAAATCTGAACAGCATTGCTCAGTTTCTATATTATTTATTTTATAACATTTTTTTTTAAATTTGCAAACAGTTTTTGAAAAATGTATCCTGAATTTATATTATATTTAGTTTTTCAGCTAATGAAATATTTAAACTTAAATTTTTGATTTGCATTTTATATATAGGTTTAACTAAAATCCATTTTAACTTTATAAAATCTATAATATAAGACTCAAAAACTAGAATAAAAAAACAACTTACGTGCTTCTAGCATCATAATTACAAATAATAATCCTTTTAAATGGGTAATGAATCAGTACATTGCATATCAATATGAATCAATTTAGGGAAAATTAATATAAATTCTCTAATTGCAAAATAAAATGTTAATGAATTCACAGAATATAAATATGAGTCAAACTACTAGATATCAATAGGAATTACCACATCGTAAATTAAAAGTTGAACCAACACATTGAAAATTAATATGAATCGATACATTGAAAATAAACACGAGTTAACCCGTTATAAATTAAAAGGTTAATGAATACACTAAAAAATTAAAACGTTGATCAATACGTTGAAAATTAATATGCAGTAACACATTGCATAGCCATATGAATCAACCTACTACATATCAATATGAATTACCACATTGTAAATTGAATCAATGTATTGAAAATTAATGTGAATCAAAAAATTTTTAACAGAAAAAATTTTCACTTTTGATAAATAATTTAGTAACTTTAATATTAAACTAAACGTTATGACAAAATTATACTTGGTATGGAGCAAGTCTGTTTTTATCACAAATCTGTAATAATTTAAATTTTTTATTTTTGAATTTGAAACTATAAATATATATGAACTAATTTATATTAAATGAAGGTTTAAGAGTTTCTGTAAATTCTAATAAATCTGAAAAAAAGATTTTATAAATTGCGTAATAGGAGCTTTAATTGTTTTTAATCACTGACAGTATTTTTTTTCTTCACATTTTAAAAATAAATTTATTGCAAATTTGCGAAGGAATATAGCTTTAAATACTGATAGTTAACTATCTCGGTTGCTATTAACATATAGCTCCCATCCTTGAAATTTAACTTTTTTTTATCATAAATATATCCTGTTAATTTATGATAGCTATATACTTGTATTAGATTAAAGATAATTCTATAATTCTATTTGAAATCAAGTTTCATTTATTACTTTCAAGAATAATTAACTCTTTATAAGCCAATATTTTACAGCAATGTTATATTAAAATATTTTTGGATTTGAAATTGATTTATAAAAAAGAAATTCACAGAGCCCGTGAGAAATAATTTGATTTTTAAGGCCATTTTTTTGGTAGGAAGTTAGGGTAGTATTTTCAAACTTTTACCTGCTGTAAATAATTGGCAATATACTTTAACTTCTGTGCTCATAAAATACCAAGTTTTTAGATTCTTCGTTTTTTACTAATTGTTAAACTCGTTGAGAAATAACATGAACTAAGGCAGAGGTCGCCAAAGTGGTCTATATAGACCCCCAGGGGTCTATTTAACATAAGTGGGGGTTGATCTGAGCCAGGGTGTCGAATGGGGGTCGATCTGAACCGGAAGGGTCGATTGGTCGAAGGATTATCAGTATTTTTCAGATATGTGACAATTAGAAATAAAAGAAGACTTGGAAATATATACAGGTAATCTTCAAAAATTGAGCGACCATTTCAAACTACGTTTTGTTGATTTGAAAAACATTGACATCCCTGATTGGATTATTGTGCCATTTTCTGCTCAAATTGAAAACGTGGACATCAAACTGCAAGATGAGCTTGCTGAGTTATTATGGGGATTTGAAGCAAAGACGCTTTTTAAAAATTTAACAATAAGCAAATTTTGGACAAATATAAATATAATGCAAAAATATGTAAGACTTTACGAAATAGCTCTGCCATTTATGATAGCATTTCCAAGTTCCTATATGGTTGAAGCCGGTTTCAGTCACGTAAATTCAATCTTAACTAAGAACGGAAATAAATTAAATGTGGGGTTTCGAAGGGATTTAAGATTAAAATTGACCAATTTTGAACCCAATATAACGAGCCTTGCAAANCAATATAACGAACCTTGCAAAAAAAAAAAAAGCACCAGGCACACCCATGTCATTGATTAAGAAAAATAAATCCGTAGTTACTTTACTTATTATTTCTATTTACTTATAATTACTTATTATTTCATAAATATTAAGGTATTTATATTTCAACATTAATATATTTTTCATAAAACTATTGTTACACTATGTACTATTACTTTAATAAATGTTTAAAATCATAAAATAAATGTACAAACACAGTATCTAATAGAGTTTTATTTTAATTAACAGAAAATTACTTTTATGGGGGTCGATGGAGATTTCGAAATATTATGTAGGGGTCGATGATCAATAAAGTTTGGCAGCCCCTGAACTAAAGCATAACACACAAGAGCAAATAGCTTCACAGTGTTAGCCTATCTTTCTGACTTAACTCAAACTTTTACTGTTATTCACATTACATTTGTGCGAACTAATCCCTCAAATTTTTTTAGTTTATTTTTATTTTTTAATTTTTTTGAAGTTATCAGCATATGGTCGCACAAATCATTGGTGGGAAAATACCTTCCCACCGACATTTAAAAATTAACGAAGTCAGGTTTTATAAAGAGTTAATATGAAGTTTTGCCAAATAATTAAACACCCTATTAAGCTACAAAAATAAAAGTGCTCAAATGGCATGAAATATATTTTGAACGTGGTAATCATAATTAATCATCTTCTCTTCACTTCTCTTCCAGATGACGAAGGAATTGCTGAGTCAGGCATCTGATGAAAACGATAAAAAGAAATTTCTGTGATGAGACTAAAGAAATACTTCGTTTCTTTTTTCATGACTTTTTCCACGTATCTTTTCCATTGTGTTAGATGCAGGCAAGCATCGTACATATAAAAACACTATTTTTTACGAACGTTGTGCGCTTTAAATGAACTTATCAAGTTTTTTTTTTCTTCATCAGTTCCACGAACGTTGTTTGTTGAAGAACTGTCTTGTAATCAATTGAACTTGGAATATCCGAATTTTGAAGTCAAATCCGTTCGGGTCACTTATTTATGTGAGTGAGTTGTGATTGATATGAGTTGTGTGTATAGATTTTTTTATTTTCTGTGCCATGCTTTTTAAGTAAGTTATTTGAATTATTAAATATAATAAAATGTAGCGTCCATAATTTTAAAAAAATCTATTTTTTGTATATGAAGTCAATAAAAGAGTCAGTTTTGATATTTTTTGTAATAACGTAATGAAATGAAAGAAAAAACTGTTTTAATGTGTTTTTTTATGGCTTATGCAGTTGAATTTTGTTAGATAAACAGCTTTGTTATGCATATATTTAATTACTTAAAACTATACTTTGTGTAATTTATGTGCTAATGTTTGAAATTAATTTGTTTGAATTAAAAGTGAAATATTTTAACTGCTCGTAAGAAAATTAAAAATTAAGATTAAGTTGTTGTTACGCAATTTATGTATTTATTTTGTAATTATCATCTATCCTCCCCCCCCCCCTAAAAAAAACTCAACATGCAAATAAATGATTTTCTCTTCAATCCCAGTAGCAAAACTATTTGAAGCAACCATAATTTTTTTCATAATTCCTGGAACTGTGAGCGATTACTGAAATATTCGCATTACGAAAAAAGTTTATTCAAAATTTTAATTATTATTTTTTTTTGATTAAATAAACCGTTGTTAAAAATTTCTTCATGTTCTAAACAATGCATTTATTCATAATTTTAAAAATAATGTGACTTTATTTAAATTTAAAATATGCTTTAAAATGTGTTTTAATTGTTAAAATATGTTTAAGTCGAATTCGGTAAAATATGAAATTTTTGCTCGTAAAATTAATATTTTATTGATCATACTTAGTTTATTACTATTAATACAACATTAATATATTTTAAGTAATTGAAAAAAAATTCCTAATTAGGTATTATATTTTTCAGGGAGTGATATTTTTCTAAAATATTTTTATTAATATTTTTACGAAACATAATTACGTTATTTATTGAATAAATATTATTTGTTACTATGGATTTTTACGTTTAAAAAAAAAGAATATAAAGAACCATAAATGGAGAATTTAAAAAAAGAATTGTTCGACTGAAAATTTCGAGTAAGATTTGTAACAAATCGGATTTCTGTTTGGTTCAATAGATTTTTTTTCCTTATATTTATTCAATTGTTTTCTGAGTTACTATGTTTCTTTTAAAAGTACTTTTTTATAAAAAATACATGAATGTTTAAAAGCATATTTTATAAATGCATTTTATTAAATATTCTAAAAACTATTTACTATTGAAAAATACATTTTTGTACAATGATACAAAAACAGATCATTTTTTAGATAACGTTTTTGTTCTTTCCGTAATGCATGAATTAACGTACAATTGTAGTGATAATTAAATATGTTATAAAAAGGAAAGATAAAACATTTAAAACTTTAAACTTAGATATTTTTAATTTTAAATTTCATCAACTATTTATTTTATTCAGTATATTACGACACAATAATATTTTTTGAAATATCAATAAATTCTCTCTAATACGTTGATAATAATATTTTTCCTTCTCACAGATGGCGCTCTGCGCAGTGATGCATTATTTATTCATGTTCTGATTCCATTCAGACACTGTAACGTTAACATCATTCTCGTTATTGTTATTAAATTTATTTTTCTGTTATCAGCTAAACTCTTTATATAGCAGAAAAATATATTTAATAACTATAACGAAGGGGGGATTTCCGTATCGTGATCTGTGGCAGAATAATCACCAAGTCTTGGAAACTTACGGGCAGTGGCCCGCAAGAAACTATAAAAAAAACATCACAGAAAGGGACCAACTTGAAAGGTATAACTCGTAGGCACCACCGGGCAAACATCTACAAGTCTTTTTCAAAAAAAAATTGCAAGTTTGAAATCTATTTGGCATCTTGGCGATTGTAGTTGGCGCTACAGATCACGATACGGAAATATCCCCTATCGAAGAATGATGTCAACGTTGAGCGGAATCAGAACATCAATAAATAATAATACATCACTGCGCAGAGCGCCATCTGTGAGAATGTGAACTAACTAATGCTTATGTAGCTAAAACTTTCCAAAAACGATTAATTTTTAATTAAATTAGCTTTAAAAATAGACCGGAAAGTGTTTGAAATTAAAATTTTGAAAAATTAAATGGTGTGTTGCAATTTCAGGTTATGCTCTGAACCTGAAACTCGTTTTGTGTGAGTATTTTTTTAAAAAGAAATTAAAATCTTTAAAATTTGAAGCATTTAGAAAAATAGTTAGAAAAGGATTATTGGAATAAATTATCAGTTTCTTCAGCCATTCAAAAGGGTTTTGATCCCATCTTACTTAATAATGATTTAACCCTTTATAGGGTAGTTTTTTTCTAGCAATGTTATGCTAAGATAATTTGAGATTGATTTATGAAAAGATAATTATTTAACATAATACCAAAAATTATGTTGATTTAAGATTTTTTACGTGAAAGTAAAAATTACACCTTCAGCAAAAAAATGGCCTTAAAAATCAACAATTGTTATTAAAAATAACCGAATTTATAAATACAATGTTTATAACCCTAAATAAATTAGGTGATAAGTGTTCAAATGAAGGAACGCATAAGGCGCAAAATAAAAATATCTTTCTAGCGTTGGCTTCTTGACCCCACGCCAACCTTTACTGTCACCCACATTTATGTAAACAAAATCCTATTTTTTTCTGAAGTTATCAGCAGTTTTTGATGAAGTTTAATGAGGCATACTTCTCACGTTCTTAACAGAATTTAATGCTTTTATTTTGTTTTCTCATTAAAATAATAGTTTTCAGACCTTAATTAATGTATTTTTAGCGACGTTTTCTTAAAGATTTGAAATATGGGATGATCATTATGGACTCTCAGGGCTGACATAGGATGCTTGTTACTGATCTATTTACCCGTGATTCAAATGAATACATGATGTTTCGTAATCACCACTTTTAATACATGTTTTTACAATCTTAGTCATAAATGAAGTCAAGAAAGTATAGTTTGTCTACGGTAAGAACTCCCTCCTGCTACAAAGTCTGAGACCGTCTGCTGCTATGGAAACAAGAACGGCGCATTTCAGGGAGGGTAGCTTCTCTTCACTCTAGGGCTAACACAATCGAAAAATATTCCCCATCTCCCTCCGGCTCGAGTCAAACCTAACCTAAACAATGACCCCACATCCCTACTTGAAATAGTTATACCACGTTACCATGGGCACCACCACAGGTCCTGACGAATGGCTAAGGGAGTTCTTACTTTGGACAAACTCTATGCACATTAGGAATCATAAATTGTTAAGTTAGGAGAAAACAAAAACACAACCGAAATTTAAAGATGGGAGGATTAAAACCATCAAAACCTGATTGATTGCCAATAAAAAGAGAAAAATTCAATTTTGATCATTAAAAAAAATCTATGAAAATCAAGTAATCTCCCCGACTTCGACATTTTTTAAATCGCGTTCTTTATTAGTCACTTGACATATTTCGATAGTGTTATTTCTGACTTAAATATTAACTTATTACTTATAATGTGTATACATTTTTTACAAAATTTTTGACAAGGAATTTAAAAAAAAAAGGAAAATTATAAATAACGAACATTTTAAAGGTTTATTTTAACAGTATTTTCTTAAAGAGGGTATTAAACTGATGAATGACATGAAACTGTTTCAGCGCAAAATTAACCGTAGAACATTTCAGCTCAATACATCGAAGATTTATTCGAAGCAATCTCTTTAAAAGTGGAGAACACAAATTGCTTTTTACTATTTTTGGATCCATTCATTTTAAACACGACTTTCAAGTCTCTATGTCATACTATTATCTCAAAAAAAAATGATGTTTTCAGGAATCCAGTACAATATTCTTGGTTTAAACATAAAAACTTTTAAGCTGAATAAAAATAACTAGTTGACTATAAAAAGAAAACCGAAAAAATCACATCGAATCCCTTCAATTTAATTTTTTTGATTTAAAAGGGAATTTTTTTTATTGTTTAGAAAAAGCCATGAAGAAGGAGAAAAAATAATTCAAACAGATTAATGTTTTTTTTAAAATAACAGTAATTAGAGGAAGAAAACATTAATTACTGGCACAGTTTAAGGAATTGTTTAAAATTGAATTGAGTCCCGCTTATGCCATTTTATCTATTTCAATGATAACCATAACTATTTTATCTATTTCATAACCATTTTATCTATTTCAATGAGAATTTTATAAACAATAATCACAATAAAAAGCGAATAACCGTAAATAACTTCTGATCTTAAGATTGGGTTTTCATGCAGCCGGCCAGGTGGTCGAGCGGTTAATGTGCCTGACTGCGGGTTCGATTCCCGCTCAGGGAATGGATGTTTTTCTCTCAGTGTTGTCCTCTGTTGTGAGTGATTTGCCAATGAGTTTCACCCCTGAAATATTTTATCAGCAACAAAAATACTACTAATAAAATTTTTCGTTAAGATTATTACTATTATATTTTTTTTTACGCTGAAGAAGAAAAATAATCAGTTCAAGCACTTGTATTTCCTCCTTCTTTCTTCTCCCCTTACCACCCAATTCAACTTTATCCTATTGCTCAAAATTCAGTCAATTGTGACATGAATTTCAAATGCGTTGAAAATTTGTTGAAACGAAGGAATAAAAGTATAAAAAAATTAAATTAAATATATTTAATGAATAAACTTTTTCAGAGACAAATAAATATTCTGAGAATAGAGGAGAAAAAATGGAAATAATGCCGAAATAATATTTTTTTTCATATACATATTCTACCTATAATTCTTAAGTGTTTACTATGCACAATCAATATGTAAACTGGGATATAATTCTTGTTATGA